CTGCAGTCACGAAAGCTTTCAATCAAAAAGCCTTGCGTAGGTTTACCAACACACACGCGCACACACAGGTGTGTAGCATTGCACGTACAAAAGCGCTCAGCATTGTCCAGACCACCAACTCAACAGAACTGAATGCGAGGCCATTTTATCCTTGAGACCACCAGCTCAGAGGAGCGAAGAAAACGATCGGATTTCTCGTCATGTACAGATTAGAATTATTTATTTTCTTTCGGCATTTGCTCGGGGCGTCCCTATAACGTACAGGTACGAGGCTTCTCCATATATGGGGCTCTCAGAGCCACATGGCAGCAGTGAACAATGATGACTGTACCACACTGATGAGTCCCTATGAGCATGAAACCAGCCTCCGGATGTGTCGGCCTCACTGCTGCCCGATGGGTTGGCAACGCACAACAGGCCACTTGGGCCTGGAATGTTGCTTTCACCGACACTGGGAATGCTGGCGAGGTTGATCGATGATTTTAAAGCGTCGTTTACATTTCTTGAGCGAGCGATCGACTCCAGTGTGTGGCTCATAAAGTGGAGCACATCCGTAACCCGGCGCTTTGGAGACCGGGTCTTTAGAACTCCCAACTGGTCGTGGCTGCGAGGCAGCCAGGGTGTGTGGCAGCACAGAAAGTGGGTTCCCGAATTGTCTACGCGGCTGTTTGAGCAGTAACCGTCCCCCCCCCCGCCCCGCGTGCGTGGGGGGGGGGGGGGTTTCGAGCCAACTGCTGAGAACCGCGGTTCACCATTTTGGTTGCAGCGGGCAGCATTCACCGGTGACCGGGCCATAAAATCGACGAAGTCCGGGTTTCATTTCACAACCCCTCCACCTGATTTGACCCCAGCCGAGCCGTCTCCCTTCGAGACCCCGGATACCGTTCGGAAAGTTATCCGAGTGCGGCCATTTCTGCCTCATTTCGCAATCGCGGCAATTATTTCAACAAATTCTGCTGCGCGAGTGACTTTTCCATCTGTCATTTTGTTCCACTCCGTCGGCTGTCATCGGCCTACCCAAGTCTCCCTTCGTAAGGGCGTTTCTCCACCTGGTAACAGACAGTCCCGCCCATCGGTTATGCAATCTAAAAGGCATAGAATGCGGCCATTCGTTGGGCGGTGGCGGCCGTGATAACCCTCCTGCGTCACAGCAAGAAGAGCCTGGGTTCAATTCCTGACCCTGGCGGCTGTCTGTGTGGAGGTTGCACGTTCTCTCTACCCCTGGTCTGCGTGGGTCTCCTCTTGGTGCTCCAGTGTTCTCCCATAGCTAAACTAAAGCCACGCAATGTCATGAGTGCTGGCCAAAACATCCCAATGCCTGAAAATTACTCATATTGGGATATACAGCAGCAGCAGCAGCAGACGCAGCATGGAGCCCTTACTGCGAAAAACTTGGCAGGACCCTCCTGAAAATGAGCCCCGAGACTCGGCGAGGCCTTTCCTGGGTAAGCGAGCGGAATCGCGAAACTAAAACTAAACATCATGCGACTGACAAACGGTGAGCCACCAGCAAGACGATGAAGCTGCCCCTCCGTCGTCTCTGAGCCGCGGCGTTTCGCTCACCGGTACCACGAGAGGCGGCACAACGTTGCCGCTCCCAATCCCTCGGTGTGGCCGAACACGCAGAATGACAGCTGCGGACGAGCGAGTTCGTCAAACGCTTCACACTCTCATTGGTCGCACAAAACTCGCGTCGGTGCGACGAGAGTTTTGCAACCGCCGGTGGTTACAGCGCTCTGCTTGGCCCAAGCGGGGGTGGGGGGGTGGGGGGGGGGGGGGTTCTGTGGCAAAATCTTCGAGGCTGTTCCCTGGAAGGACTGGAAGCTTCGCTCGCCGAGGGGCATCCTAGGAGGAGGGCGGCGTTTGTTCGCCCCCTCTCCCACCCCCCCCCGCCCCCCCCCCCCCCCCCGTGACACGGCTGCAATTACGACGCAAACGCGAAATACCCGCGGCAGGTCCGGCACGGCCGCTGGCGGCGGCCGCGAGGACGGGCGGCCAAGCGCAGTTGTGCTTCGTCCGCCGAGAGTTGACGCGAAACCGTCGTGACGATTTTGATTTAAAGCTCTCGTGACCGCAGGGATTCGTATTCTTGGTTCTTTCGGTAAAGTCAGCACCACGTAGAAGGGAAACAATAAAATAATAAAAAATATAAAACAAAAAAATTTTCACGACGTTTCGACTGCAACACAAGCAATCATCATCAGGTGTGAAAACCACAGCTTACGGTGGCTTTCAGACCGCATCCATTATTTTTGTCTCCCCCCTCCTCTTCTCCGAACATAGATGGACTCATATTCTTAGTTTTTTCGGTAAAGTCACGTTGAAGGGCAACAACAAAATAATAAAATATATATAAAACAATAAAAAAATTCTCACGACGTTTCGACCATAACTCAAACGGTCAAACGGTCGTTTGAGTTATGGTCGAAACGTCGTGAGAATTTTAACTAAGAATATGAATTACTGCAGTCACGAAAGCTTTCAATCAAAATAGATGGACTCGTCCATCTGAACAAACTGTCAAATTGCTCTCCGTGGTGCTAACGTTAAAAATAACCGACACTTTTTTCAAATTTTCTTGCGGTTAACATCGTCACGACGATGTTAACCGCCGCGCGGCAATTAACGCCGAGATATTTTAAGCTCCCCCGAAGTTCCGCCGGCGAGGAGGCTCCACGCCGCCGCCGCCGCCGCCGCACGGACACGAGGAGGAGCACGATCGACGGGGACGTGCGAACAACTCGGGGGGCAGTGGCGCTCCCCCCCCCCACCCCCCGCCCACACGAGCTGGCGGGCTCCCTGCAGGGCCAGAGGAGCCAGAGGAGCCAGACTCACCGCAGAGACACAGAAAGCGGTTTCTGGGAGTCTCTGCGGTGAGCCTGGCCGGGTGCCGCCGCTACGCGACCGCCCCCCCCGCCCCCCGTGGTCATCATCACCATCACTGCCCTTGTCAGTCTCTCTGGGAGCGCACTGGGCGGGCGGACTTCATGCGCCAACAGCGACCACCGCAGGCGTTTATCCCGGTTTATTGTCGCCGCTGGTCTGCGTAAATCGTAACCCCCCCCCCTTCTTCTTCTTCTTCTTCTTCTTTAAGGCACCGAACCGAGGGCCGGGGGGGGGGGGGGGCAGGGACCTCAGGCGTGACGGCTCGGAGTCTCCGACGTGGTCGTTGTGAGTCGCCCCTCGCAACGACCATCACACGGGATCCGAGCCGTGCCGGCGCGGCTCCATTCTCGCCCTGACACCCTCCCTCCCCCTCCTCCCCTCCCTCCCCCTGTTCCTCTCCCCCCCCCCCCCCCCACTCTTTCCCTCCCTCCCAGCCCCTCCTCCCGTCCCTCCCGCCCCACGGCCCCTGCTACCAGACGCAGAGAAATAATCGTTCACTGTGAACGTCAAAAGTGCCGTTTCTACACTTGAAGTGCAAATGCCCAGGTCGCTGGCCACCTTCGGGTTCATCAAGTTCGGTTACCAACGAAGCCAGGCATTTCACAATGCACACGTCATCTAGAAATCTACGATAAACATTTGCATAAAAAAAATATAGAGAATTGTAGACCGGTTTCGGCCTCATAATGACTCGGCGCACCGAGTCTTTCTGCCCTGTCAATAATCGAGGTCCTAGCACTGGGGCAGCGCTTGCTGGAGTGGATGGTGGTGGCAGCCTCCTGCACGTTGCCCATTCTGCCCAGTGAGGAATCGCGACCAACGCCACCGTCAACCCGGCGGCCGAATCGTCGGCCAACGAGCTCCCGGCCTCCCGAGCAGCTGCTCAAGCACTTGCTCCCACTGCGGGGCCCCGAGCCGGCAGCGGAAATTCCACATTACACGGCAGGGGCTGGTCTCTCCGGAGGACGACCAACGTTCACTCTGCACAGAGCGGTGCGAAGGGTCCGAGTCGACCCGTGACTGGCATTTTAAACTGCAGCGGTCAAATGGCGAGTCGATCCGTCTGCTCACAGCACGACACGACGGGACCCCGAGCTGGCCGCCTGATTCACTCCCTCCGGCCAGCCCCGGGTTACTCGGCCAGGAGACGAAATAAACTCGCCGAGACGCACCCAGCAACGGATAAACTCACGCTCCCCGACACAAACTGAACCCAACTCACACGACTGGGAATCCCCCAGCGGCACGCGCGTATCCCATCACCACGGCCGACGGCCCGACATATCCACTGCTGGAGAGAGAGAGAGCAAGAGAGAGAGAGAGCAAGAGAGAGAGAGCAAGAGAGAGAGAGAGAGCGAGCAAGAGAGTAAGGAGAGCAGAAAAAAATAAGAAAAAATATTTTGTTGGGTCTTTCATTTAAAGGGGGGGGGGGCGGGGGTTTACATAAAGCAAAGCATAAAATAAACGAAATGATGAACGGAGCAAAGTGCCGACTACACCGAGCATCTTCTTGTTTCCTCTGATCGTAAAAAAGAGAGAGAGAGACCCATAGACTTTTATAGGGACCCATAAACTTGCATGAGACTCACAGAGATGCATAAACTCACATAGAGACTCATTGACTCGCACATAAACCCATAGCCTTACATGAAGACCCTTAGGCTCACATAGACCCATAAACTCACTTTAGAATCTTTGGGTTTCTATACGAGTATGTAACCTTGAGTAATTGAAGGAATTTGTCAGTTACCTAATTAAACATTTTACAGTGCTGTTTTTTTTGCTGGCGGCTGAACGTTTGAGGAATTTGTTCCTGTGCTCAACTGTGATTAAAAATAAATTAACGCCAATCACGAAAAAGAGAGAGAGAGCAAGAGAGCGAACGAACGAACGAACGAGCGAGAGAGCGACAGGCAACGTACCTTCTTTGGTTCTTTCGGTAAAGTCACGTAGAATGAGAATAAAATAATAAATTGATAAAATAAAATAACACAATAATATTCTCACGGCGTTTCGGCCACAACACAAGGCCGCTTGTGACTTTACCGAAAGAACCAAAGAAGACGAATCCTTGCAGTCACGAAAGCTTTAAATCGAAATTTAAGGCAACGTACCGTTTGAGCAGCATTCCGGCCAGAACGCTGCCCAGCAGCGTGCAGAGGGCCTGCGAGAAGAACACCCACGTCAGGGCCTCCAGGGAGCTGTGCGTCTGGCATCGCAGGTCCAGCAGCGTGGGACCCAGGAAGGAGGCGCACAGGCCGAAGGTGAAGAAGACGCTGCAGTAGGTGAGCGTGGCCTGCAGGTTCCTCGTGAAGAGGACCCATGCATCGGGATCCCTGGCCATGCCTGCCGAGCAGTAACCGGAGCCTCTGGGGCACCGGGGGAGGAGGAGGGAGGAGGTGGAGGAGACATTGGGGAGTGATAGTCTGGAGGGAGATCAGACTTCATTTCATGTATTCAGTTTGTCGTGCCAAGTGGCCAGGATTGGGGCAAACCCTCGCCCACGTTTCGCCCAGGTAACGGGAGCGCGAGCACAGACTGAGTGTTACCCGCCCCGAATGGACGTCTGTGGAGGAAAAAAAAAGAGCTTGATAGCTCATCGGATTCCTGCAGGATAAATACAAACTCGGACACCAACCTAACATTCACAACAGTTGCGTATTTAAGAGTCACAGTTAAGGGGCAAGCAACGCTGTGTACCGTCACAAATAATTAAAACAACAAAACACTTCAAACTAAACGTCTCGCGAACGCAGCAGAGATGTAGGAAGAGGAGTAACAAGAGGTGGAAATGACGACGCCGATGCCCGATGATGGGCAAGAACAGCTGCGATATTAAAAGCGAGATCCTGCTGCTGCTACCAAATGAGCCGGTACACGTGTAGAGTTACCGCGGAGTGGTTCGCGATCCTTCTTAGTGGGGTAAACACATCGCGGATTAGAGGGAGCGTCTAAGGAAGCCTACGGCTGGGCAATGCGAGTCGTGGGCCAGCGGAGTTCTTAGAACCACGTGGAGAGCGACTCCGTGTGACTGCAGTCCACCAAGGCCGTAGTCATGGAGTCAACATTGGGGGGGACCAAATCTAAATTTGAAACGAATTTCCTGCCTAAAATATAACAAAATTCACTAACGCATGGGATGGACTTTTTATTCATTTTTTACAATAATGTCTAACAGTGTATTGTATTACATTGCTCTGTTTTTACTTTGTAACTTTTTCTTGTTATATTGGGGGGGGGGGGGCATTTTGAGCATCTTTGAATATTGGGGGAAGGGTATGTCCCTCCCCCCCCCGTACTAACAGAGGGTACTACTGCAGTACTAACAGACAGTACTACTGCAGTACTAACAAACAGCACTACTGCAGTACTAACAAACAGCACTATTGCAGTACTAACAGACAGTACTACTGCAGTACTGACAGACGGTACTACTGCAGTACTGACACAGCACTACTGCAGTACTAACAGACAGTACTACTGCAGTACTGACAGACAGTACTACTGCAGTACTAACAGGTAGTACTAGTGCAGTACTAACAGACAGTACTAGTGCAGTACTAACAGACAGTACTACTGCAGTACTGACAGACAGTACTACTGCAGTACTAACAGGCAGTACCAGTGCAGTACTAACAGACAGTACTACTGCAGTACTAACAGGCAGTACTAGTGCAGTACTAACAGACAGTACTACTGCAGTACTAACAGACAATACTACTGCAGTACTAACAGACAGTACTAGTGCAGTACTAACAGACAGTACTAGTGCAGTACTAACAGACAGCACTAGTGCAGTACTAACAGACAGCACTAGTGCAGTACTAACAGACAGCACTACTGCAGTACTAACAGAGAGTACTACCGCAGTACTAACAGACAGTACTACTGCAGTACTAACAGACAGTACTACTGCAGTACTACCAGGCAGTGCTACTGCAGTACTAACAGACAGTACTACTGCAGTACTAACAGGCGGTACTACTGCAGTACTACTGCAGTACTAACAGGCGGTACTACTGCAGTACTAACAGACGGTACTACTGCAGTACTAACAGACGGTACCACTGCAGTCCTAACAGACAGTACTTATGCAGTACTAACAGACAGTGCTACTGCAGTACTAACAGGCGGTACTACTGCAGTACTAACAGGCGGTACTACTGCAGTACTAACAGACAGTACTACTGCAGTAATAACAGACAGTACTACTGCAGTACTAACAGACAGTACTAGTGCAGTACTAACAGGCAGTACTAATGCAGTACTAACAGACGGTACTAGTGCAGTACTAACAGGCAGTACTAGTGCAGTACTAACAGACGGTACTAGTGCAGTATTAACAGGCGGTACTAGTGCAGTACTAACAGGCAGTACTACTGCAGTAGTAACAGACGGTACTACTGCAGTACTACCAGACGGTACTAGTGCAGTACTACCAGACGGTACTAGTACAGTACTACCAGACGGTACTAGTGCAGTACTAACAGACGGTACTACTGCAGTACTACCAGACGGTACTACTGCAGTACTAACAGACAGTACTACTGCAGTACTAACAGACAGTACTACTGCAGTACTAACAGACGGTACTACTGCAGTACTAACAGATGGTACTACTGCAGTACTAACAGACGGTACTAGTGCAATACTAACAGACGGTACTAGTGCAGTACGAACACAGTACTAGTGCAGTACTAACAGACAGTACTACTGCAGTATTAACACAGTACTAGTGCAGTACTAACAGACAGTACTACTGCAGTACTAACAGACAGTACTACTGCAGTACTAACAGACAGTACTACTGCAGTACTAACAGACAGTACTACTGCAGTACTAACAGTGCTTCATAGGCCATCATACACCAACTATAGAACGAACATCAACTGCAGGAGGAATACTGCTCCAGCAAAACCTTGGATTGCGAGTAACTTGGTCTGCGAGTGTTTTGCAAGACGAACAAAAATGGTAAAAAATATTAATTTGATAAACGAGCGAGGGTCTTACAATACGAGTAGTACGTACAGTACACGCTTTGTACTGCCGAGCGTCACGTGATCACGCCTGATATACGAGTGCTTTGTATTACAAACACGTTTCCGGAACGAATATTATGCTCGCAATCCAAGGTGTGACTGGCAAAAGAACACGGCGCAGAGTTCTGCAGCATAAACTAGTGTTCAAGTGGCTGGGACCAGCACCATCGGGACTAAACGGCAGACGAACGAGATTCCCAACTCACTAACAACTCGTGGTAGGCAGTGGAACGAGATTCCCAACTCACTAACAACTCGTGGTGAACAGAGAAACGAGATTCCCAACTCACTAACAACTCGTGGTAGGCAGTGAACGAGATTCCCAACTCACTAACAACTCGTGGTAGGCAGTGGAACGAGATTCCCAACTCGCTAACAACTCGTGGTAGGCAGTGGAACGAGATTCCCAACTCGCTAACAACTCGTGGTAGACAGACAAACGAGATTCCCAACTCACTAACAACTCGTGGTAGACAGAGGAACGAGATCCCAACTCGCTAACAACTCGTGGTAGACAGAGAAACGAGATTCCCAACTCGCTAACAACTCGTGGTAGACAGAGAAACGAGATTCCCAACTCACTAACAACTCGTGGTAGACAGAGGAACGAGATCCCAACTCGCTAACAACTCGTGGTAGACAGAGAAACGAGATTCCCAACTCGCTAACAACTCGTGGTAGACAGAGAAACGAGATTCCCAACTCGCTAACTCGTGGTAGACAGAGGAACGAGATTCCCAACTCACTAACAACTCGTGGTAGGCAGAGGAACGAGATTCCCAACTCGCTAACAACTCGTGGTAGACAGAGAAACGAGATTCCCAACTCGCTAACAACTCGTGGTAGACAGAGGAACGAGATTCCCAACTCACTAACAACTCGTGGTAGACAGAGGAACGATATTCCCAACTCACTAACAACTCGTGGTAGACAGAGAAACGAGATTCCCAACTCGCTAACAACTCGTGGTAGACAGAGAAACGAGATTCCCAACTCGCTAACTCGTGGTAGACAGAGAAACGAGATTCCCAACTCACTAACAACTCGTGGTAGACAGAGAAACGAGATTCCCAACTCACTAACAACTCGTGGTAGACAGAGGAACGAGATTCCCAACTCACTAACAACTCGTGGTAGACAGAGAAACGAGATTCCCAACTCGTTAACAACTCGTGGTAGACAGAGAAGCGAGATTCCCAACTCGCAAACAACTCGTGGTAGACAGAGAAACGAGATTCCCAACTCGCTAACAACTCGTGGTAGACAGAGAAACGAGATTCCCAACTCGCTAACAACTCGCGGTAGACAGAGGAACGAGATTCCCAACTCGCTAACAACTCGTGGTAGACAGAGAAACGAGATTCCCAACTCACTAACAACGCGTGGTAGACAGAGAAACGAGATTCCCAACTCGCTAACAACTCGTGGTAGACAGAGAAACGAGATTCCCAACTCACTAACAACTTGTGGTAGGCAGAGGAACAAGATTCCCAACTCACTAACAACTCGTGGTAGGCAGAGGAACGAGATTCCCAACTCACTAACAACTCGTGGTAGGCAGAGAAACGAGATTCCCAACTCGCTAACAACTCGTGGTAGGCAGTGGAACGAGATTCCCAACTCGCTAACAACTTGTGGTAGGCAGAGGAACGAGATTCCCAACTCACTAACAACTCGTGGTAGACAGAGAAACGAGATTCCCAACTCACTAATAACTCGTGGTAGGCAGAGGAACGAGATTCCCAACTCACTAACAACTCGTGGTAGGCAGAGGAACGAGATTCCCAACTCACTAACAACTCGTGGTAGGCAGATGAACGAGATTCCAAACTCACTAACAACTCGTGGTAGGCAGAGAAACGAGATTCCCAACTCGCTAACAACTCGTGGTAGGCAGTGGAACGAGATTCCCAACTCGCTAACAACTTGTGGTAGGCAGAGGAACGAGATTCCCAACTCACTAACAACTCGTGGTAGACAGAGAAACGAGATTCCCAACTCACTAATAACTCGTGGTAGGCAGAGGAACGAGATTCCCAACTCACTAACAACTCGTGGTAGGCAGTGGAACGAGATTCCCAACTCACTAACAACTCGTGGTAGACAGAGGAACGAGATTCCCAACTCACTAACAACTCGTGGTAGACAGAGAAACGAGATTCCCAACTCGCTAACTCGTGGTAGACAGAGGAACGAGATTCCCAACTCACTAACAACTCGTGGTAGACAGAGAAACGAGATTCCCAACTCACTAACAACTCGTGGTAGACAGAGGAACAAGATTCCCAACTCGCTAACAACTCGTGGTAGGCAGAGGAACGAGATTCCCAACTCACTAATAACTCGTGGTAGACAGAGAAACGAGATTCCCAACTCACTAACAACTCGTGGTAGACAGAGGAACGAGATTCCCAACTCACTAACAACTCGTGGTAGGCAGAGGAACGAGATTCCCAACTCGCTAACAACTCGTGGTAGACAGAGAAACGAGATTCCCAACTCACTAACAACTTGTGGTAGGCAGAGGAACAAGATTCCCAACTCACTAACAACTCGTGGTAGGCAGAGGAACGAGATTCCCAACTCGCTAACAACTCGTGGTAGACAGAGAAACGAGATTCCCAACTCACTAACAACTCGTGGTAGACAGAGGAACGAGATTCCCAACTCACTAACAACTCGTGGTAGACAGAGGAACGAGATTCCCAACTCGCTAACAACTCGTGGTAGACAGAGAAACGAGATTCCCAACTCACTAACAACTCGTGGTAGGCAGAGGAACGAGATTCCCAACTCGCTAACAACTCGTGGTAGGCAGACGAACGAGATTCCCAACTCAGCGGCAACTCGCTAGAGACCCAGGCGAGGCCACCACGTCTCCTCCACCCGGCACCACGAGTAAACAGCAGCAGGAGGAGTAGGAGCAAGAGCAGTAGAGGCAGTAGGAGAAGTAGGAGGAGAAGGAGCAGTAGGAGCATCAGTAGGAGTAGGAGCAGGAGGAGTAGGAGCAGAAGGAGTAGAGGCAGTAGGAGCAGCAGCAGGAGTAGGAGCAGTAGGAGTAGGAGCAGCAGCAGCAGTATGAGTACCTGTGCCAGTTAGCGACTTGCGGTAGCAGCGGCGAGGAGGGGTGCGAGGGGGAGCCCCGCAGCTGGGAGAGGAGGAGGAGGGAGCCGTCACCACCACAGGAGCCCTCTTCGCTCTAAGCGCCCCTAGCTGGCGGGCTGCTGCTGCTGCTGCCCATGGCCTTGCCCGCTGCCGCTGCTCTGCACTGCTGCGTGGCTGCTGCTGCTGCTGCCTCCTCTTCCTCCACTCGCTCGGGGCAGGGCGAAGAGGAAGCAGAGGGGGGGAGGGGGGAGCTGGGCGGGGGAGCGGAGAGCTCCACCTCATTGCTCCGAGTCTTGTGGCCGGCATCAGACATTGCACCTTGCGCACGCAATTAGTGCGTGCCAGCGGGGAGCGGTGGGGTTAGTGGTGAGCGCGCTGTTGCATTTCCCGCTCAACGGCGTCAACCAGTGGCGATTATCCGAAACGGTTTTGGGCCTCCCCAAGGTCGACTCAGCCTTAAATGTGTGGCCGCTGCGGTGTGTAAACATCGCCACTGGGGAGACAAAGGCGGTCGGGCGCGGTGTTGGCCACCCACCCCCTCGTGCGCCACAGTGCCGACCTCCATAGGTGCTCGCTAACAGCACTTGCCCCAACAGTCCGTTCAGGCTACACGGGGGATCTTTGTCTTTGTCCTGCCCAAACCCCCTTCACTTTCTTCACGGTGAACAAGTCGCTGGCTGCGTCTCTGTTCTCTATTCCGCGTCTTCGTCCTGGGAGTCAGGGCCGGTGGTGCAGTCACAACACTCGAGCATCTCAGCGAAACGACCTCGGCGTTCGATTCCCGATTCGGGCGCCTTTCTGCGTGGAAACCGAGCTAATTAGCAGCTGTGTCGGGTGGTTGGTGGGTTTAACGACACATTCAGGTGTCCTGCCCAAAGCTAACAAAAACACAAAACACAAACCTACAAGGCAACTGCGGTATTGGCCAAACATCGCAATGCTGGAAAATTCCCTACACATTACCCCGTGAGGATTACAGCAGCAGCAGTAGCAACATCGCCAACGACCGCGACAAATTGGCAGGACCCTCCTGAAAACAGCGTCGAGAGACTCGGGGTTATATCGACGATGTCTGAGATGGTTATTCCAAATATTATCCTTATGGAGTGAAACTAAAATTCACCACTCCTCTAAATTCCACGAAGAATCCGCGATCTTTCACCTCGGATTTGTCGATGAGTTTAATCCGCGGTGCAAAAAGGCTCGCTCCATGCACAGAGGCGCCTGTCTGGCTTCTGTTTATGCGATGTTCAGGATAAAAGCCGCGTGGTGCCACATGAGAGCTGTGGTGACAGCCGCTTTCCCTGCACGACGCTCTCTTTGCGAGCGGTTTTTAATTTGTATTAATATTCTGCTTCTTAGATAGATAGATCCTTTATTGTCATTGTCACCAGTACAACGAAATTTAAAGTGCTCACCAGTCAGTACATCATTCAAAAATTTTAATAAAACAAGAAATAAAAATAAAATAACATGATAATCAATACATTTTATATATAAAAACTACTCAAGTATACCCACATACCCACATAAAAGTACATTTTATCATTGCACATCCTCATTTTACAGTCAATTGTATACAGTATTACTTAGTAAATAATTAGCAGTATTCAGTGTGGTAATTGCTGTAGGATAAAAGCTGTGTTTGAATCTGTTTGTCCTTGTTTTGACTGATCTGAATCGTCTGCCTGATGGCAACAGCTCAAACAGAGAGTATCCAGGGTGAGAAGAGTCCTTTATAATGTTCTTCGCTTTTTCGATGCAACAGGAATTGTGTAGTTCTTCCAATGTGGGGAGAGAGCACCCGGGGGGGTCTTTGTTTGCGAGAGCATGGATGACTGCATTACTTTACACCGATGGGAAGATCTCGTCTCGTCTACAAGGGCCAGGCATCACGGTTTTTTCATCATCATCATGATCTTTGTTCCCGGAATCTGGTTCATAAAACTGTCCGTGGTGATGGTATAGAACGACTATTCATAAACCCAGCTCGTTCATGTGATCGAGCAGCCTTGGAATTCTCCGCGAATCTATTCACAAAAATCTTCGCGAATTTCGTTTGTCCGCGTGCGGGAAGAATTCGGCTTTAGTTCAGCTCGCTATTATCTCCAATTTGTAACAGAAGAATGATGGATGCGTCATTGCACAAGCGAGGTATTTAAATGTCAAATGTAATCATCTCGCGTAACAAGTGCGCCCTCTTTGTTTCACCAACTGGTCCCGCTACTTTCATTATCAGTTTAACACGTTGTTAGGCTTTCGCGACCAATATTATTCATAATAAAGGTTTTTGGGTTAGATCGCGTTATTTATAAATGTGTCGTAACCCTCTACCACCCGACCACGGCCAAACAGTAAAAAAAGTGTCACGTTTACAAAGGACAAATAGTTCACTACTTTAGCCCACCGGTGTGTTGAAGAGTGAATCAACATCATTTAAAATTTGCGTACGACGTTTCGCTGGTAATTACATCCACCATCATCGGGCAATTCGCCAGAATGGTAAAGCCCTCACTTGCTCCCGGTCTTAAATAGAGCAGCAGGGTGACGTCATCATTTAACTCATTCAGGTGCAGTGATTTGAGGCAGAGCGGGGGGGGGGGGGGTGTAATTATATAATCGATTGGTAATCATGATGTCCGCAGAGACACCATCTCATCCAGGGTCGTTCTCTTTCTCCCCCACTCCGCAGGGCAGCGGCCTACTTCTGATTGAAGTGTGGCACCCGGAATGGCCTTTTTATCTGAGAAATTGTTTAATGCCCGAGATGCATGATTTTACCTATCTGCAGAAATCTATAAGTATAACAACAAACCCACTTCCTCCGTTCTCGCACGAGTTTGTTGGGACGTGGGAACGTCCAGCCATCGAGGCCGTACCAGCATCGCAGAAGCTTCGTGGATGTGCGAGATTTACCGCTGCAAACACGGCAAGCCTCGACGTATCCTCGCTTACCACCAAACGCGTTCACAAATAGTGAAGGAATCCTGCCTGTGTTGGCTTCAGGCGCAGGCCCTGACGCCACGCACAGCACGCGACCACCCTGCACCTGGGGCTACGGAGTCGGGAATTCAGATGGAGTTGTAGCTGCTGCTGCTGCTTAAGAGAGCTCGTGATTTGAATTAAGTCGCCGTGGGCCGATGAACCCATCCGTACGTGGCATTTGATTTATATATAAAAATAAATAATAGCTTTTACCCTTTTTGGCAATAAAACAGGTGGTGTTAAGATGTTCAAACAACGAATAGAAAACTTTTTCATTAACCACACACGGTTACTTGTGGCAACACGTGCAAACTTGCTCTGATAATTATAATACATGCATATATGATAATATATGATAATTACAATATATAATAATATATGGCATTGTCTTTGAAATCAATCGGCCAACACCAGACAGCCTTCTTGATGGCCTCGTCTCACCAGTGTCAGACCAAAGAACGCCCAAAGGGTGAACAACACGAAGACAACGCCACACGCATCAGAGCACGGATAGCCGGATTGAGCGAGTGCTATCTATGGAGCCTGTTTTGCGAGTATCAAAGTACATATAAAAAAATAACAATGTGTTTTTGGTCTTCGCCTCTCGACGAGTCGGGTTGGAGGTGCGTGCACAATTCGATGGAACTCTCTCGCCGCCTGCGGGTCACCGACGGCGAGGAGGGAGCCGTGTCGCTCCCCGGGCGTCGTCCACTCGAAGTTTGGACCGAGAGATTTTTTTTTTTTGCCACAAACCACCTCGAAATAAACCACGAATTCGATCTCATTGGACATCTGTGAAAAGAAGAGCTTCGTCGCTCATCGGATTCCTCCTCCAGTCTACGTAAAGATTCCCAAAGCGCGAGAGTTGTGGGGTTTTTTTTGGCAGCGCAGATAGTCGGAGGAGGAGCCGATCGTTGAGACCGAACCCATGTTTGTTGAAGACTTCAAAGGCGCTTAAAGTTTTTATGACCTCGACATTTTTCGCGAGGAGCAGCCCGTGTAAATTATTTTCCGCGTAGGTGTTGTGTATGCGCGCATTAACTCACGCATTTGTTTGCACCACGTGCTGTGAATTAAGCGCGCGGCTGCATTTCCACGGTAACGACGCTAGCGGCACTACCGCAGATGCACGAATCATTTGCTGTGCAGTCGTGTTATCCAGGGATTGATCGATGGTACAGGTGACACGGTGATGCCATGTGGTGTCAAGCCTGGCGGTGGTGGCCATGCACGTGGCCTGCTATGCTGCAACTGTGGAGACAGCAGCGGAGGGTTGATGGATCTCACGTTACTGTTTGCGGAACTCCCCAAGGGCGTCGAGGAGGCGCTCACGACCTGTGAATAATAATAATCCGTTGCGAGTCTCACCACGAGGCCGGGTTTGTTGAGACTCGGGTCTCACCTGGGTGCACCTCGTCCCAGCGTGCGCGCTCATTGCAACGTCACGCGCCGCTCCACCGACTCACAAAAAAAACCCCACCCTGGGATAATCGTCCTTTGCGGGGCATTCAGAATTAAGCGTGCCGCGTGCTCAAAACAATTCATGCAGACGAACGGTCTTGTTGTGTGCAGGCGCAGACGTTGGGTGCTCTGGGTAATTAAAGCCCGAGGCGTTAATGCACACCCACGGCGCGAAGCCTCTGCAGAGAAACTAGGCTCAGAGTTTTACGCACGTGATGACTTTCTGATTATGATTCGCAAGAATTGGAGCAGTTTAAAAGTACCGATGGCTCCCCGCCACGTGAATGTGGAATTTCCGACAACTGGTTCGGGGTCAACAATGGAGATTGACACCGCCTCACTCTTGGTCTCGGCAGGAAACCCATTTCGCATGGCTTCTGACCCGGCCAATCAAGCGGCGGAGGAGGGACGACGGTCAAAACGAGGCCTCAACCAGGATTTGCGCTCACGACCTTCCCAGTGGCGTGGCTATCGAGTGTGCAGGCGGTGCAGTTGCACCGGGGCTCATCAGCCGGAGGGGGCTTAGGCACCGGGTTACAAAGAGGGGCTAATTTAATTCCTTCCACGAGGGCCCAAGGCGAGCTCGCTACAGCATGGACCCCCTTCGGGCAGCACAGTCGCAACACCCCCCGTGGTCCAGGCACTCACAGGTGACGCCGCGTGTGCGCCGCGTGTGTCGTGGCTGAACCACTCACTGCATCTTGAATGTGGAAGCGTTTGTACAGCGACGATGACAAATCTACATTTCGCTTGTGCGTCCACGAGATGGCTTCTGGGGGGGGGGGGGGGTGTGCCGCACGATGAACTCTATTCGCCTCCGCCGGAAGATCCGAGGGAGAATCGCAGTCCGCAGTCGCGGTAGTCACCGATGATCACCAACAGTGGCGAAGCCGGCCCCCGTGGCTCGACCCGTGCTGGCGTGCGGGCTGGGCCCTCATCACGGGGCCACGCAGGCAGTAAAAAAGTTTCCAATAACAGATAAAAGGGCAGGGACATTGAGGCCGCCGCTGGTGTTTAAACAGCAGACGCGGGGCCGAGTGGTGAAACACAACAGCCACGGTTTGCATCTGCGTGCACCACGAGTTGTTTTTATTTTAACCACACTTGGCACCCGGCCTGGCGCAGATTTTCCAAGCAGAGCGCGTTGAGTGTCAAAGTGCCTGCATCGACTCGGCAGGGTGGAGTCAGCCCAGTCCGTCGGCTGGTCCAGTAAGCGCCTCTCGGCTGCCCGGGTAATTGATCACTGCAACGGTGAGGGCTGATGGGCCCCACATTGCGCGCCTTGTAATGCGGTGGGAGCAGTGGCGAGGTTGGTGGATCACACTGAGATGGCGTTAAGACCGTGTGTGTGTGTGTGCGACAAGACACGAATAAATGAGGCGGTGCATTCACAAGGCAGAGGAGCAAGTAGGTTTAGTTGCGTGCAGTTTGAGGTTCCTCTCAAATTGGTGGCTTTCCTCTGCACTCTCCGATATCACGCTGCCAAAACATCCCAACCAAGAACCTCAAAAAGCTTTAGTACCCATTATTTATACGGCTAACGAGAGTTAATTACTTGATAATCCATCGATTTAAAATGGTTACCACATAATACACTTGCCACAGAGAAATTGGAACAACTGATGCTGTGCTACCTGACGTAGTCCCGACAGGCGAAATATTTGGTCTGGACTCATGTGACTCACAAGGAGGTGACCAGGACCGGATTAAGGCACGGGGGGCTTTAGGGGATGCAGCCCAGGGGCCTCCGGCCAGTTTGAGGGCCTCCAGAGATGAAGTGAAAAGTTATTTCATTCGTGAATGCTGTTGTTAGCCTCGTAAGTGTTATTTTTCTTTAACTTTGTTTTCCTTTTGAAAATATTACTGGGGGGCCTCACAGTACCTGTAGCCCAGGGGCCTACAACATCTTCATCCGGCCCTGGAGACCACCCATTGCCACAGGAATGAAGAATTTACAGCACTGGCAAAGGAGGTCTCATAATGTAAAAGTTTAACCCCGAGCTCTCAATACTCTGATGGTGCGTTGTCTTTGAGTTGTGCGCCTTTTGGCGTCATCTGGTCCAACACCAATGTTAGACTGGGCTCTAAGAAAAGCTGTCTCGGGTGTGGACCAATCAATTTCAAGGACAGTGCCAATACATTATCAGTGTCGTCTTTTTGTTTGCATTTTGACCGCAGGTGTTGTGGTTAATGCAACGCATGATCCCTTGTAAAAAGGTATCAGTTTTGTCGCCATGAAAAAAGGATATAAACCTATTATTATATCTTGCTACTGGCAAAGGAGGTCTCAAAACGGTGTCTAGATAGTTACGTAGGTAACAAGAGTTGTTGCAGACAAAACTCGGGACACGGGAGGGGAAGACGCTCAAGAGGTCCACGCAGAAGGGTCAGAAACCCACGTCTCCACTGCTGCCTCCTGGCCACCCTCAGGCCTCCAAGCTCGCGATGCTCGCAGCACACATCGATTTTTCCGCCCGATCCACCAACCCTTGCTTGCAGGCCCGCAGGCGAGGGGCGAGCACCGGTTGCGTCCGTGCGCGGTCGTAACAGGAAACGCACTCGGGGGCCCAGTTGCTTTCCATCCGTTTTTATAAATTACACATGCGGCATGAACATGAGTTTACAAAGGTGAGACGCGAGAGGACAAGAATGAGAAATAAAAGCAGCTCCACGTTAACGAGGGCGGGCGGGCCCTCTCTGCGCCCTCGCCACGGGGCCGCTGGCTCGGGGGTTCGCTACTCTAAGGCCACAAGTCGCCCCCCCTGCCATCGTCACACCAACAAAACGTCGGCGGGAAGCCAACGCGATGCAAAAAGCAAACGTTCGCACCGAGAGGTCGCCCCGTCGATGGCATCACGGGGGGGGGGGGGGGGGGCTCGCAATTGTTCAATGAAACACAACAATGAAGTCCAATTGCTGGCAAAAAAAACAGCAGCTGAAGCGGTTTCGCCCCACGCACCACACAGATCCACGCACCACTGATCCGCGCGTTCACTCGTCACCGGGTTTTCCAATTAGAAGAGAAAAACTACGGAACAAAAAAATCTCCTTGCTGCTCAATAACATGTTTAAATTTATTCGATGCAAAACAAAATAAGGCTGTGCAAATATTTGTCCTGTTCTGCAGTGAGAAATATTTATTCGTGGAGGTTTAATTATTTCAATCTGTGTCATTCTTAACTTTTCTCTTGAATAAACTTCGCTACTTTGGGCAGGAAGAACAGAACGAGAAGGCCAGGGTGCAACGTCCTCCTTGCCTGGGAATGGACCGGGGTGCGTGCAGACACACGCACCAACTGTGCCTAGCAACTAAAGTTGGTAATAATCGCTCGGTAGGTTGACAAGAAGTTTCTCATTCAATTGTGGGGGTCGTTAACCACTTTCTCACGACTTGACAAGAACGGAAAAAAAAACTGGCGCCGGCCTGCTAACCTGTTTGCGTCGACTTCGCCCAGCGATAAGACGCTTCGCTCGATGCGTCCTAACCTGGCAGGCTCGATTGTCTAATCAGGACCGAGCTCAAATAAACTTCCACCATTCAACCCTGGCACAGGATCACTCGCGGCACGAGCCGTGCCGATACGGCGCTAACATGTCAGCCAATCGAGACCGATCGGGATCATGTTCAACGGAGACCCGTCCTCTGCACGGAGATTGTCCAACCAAGAAATGCGTTTAATCGAGGCTTCACGCCGATCCAGAAAATACGTCTGCTCGAGACTGCGTCCAATTGAGATGCATCGTATGCTACCCAACGGGATATTGCCGGCGGGCCGAGTTGCATCCCCCAATGGTGAAAGCGGTGCGCGCTCTGTAACCCCATCCAGATTGCTACGAGAAAAAAAAAAACATCTAATAAACATTTTATTCAAATCCTCTCTGCACCTGCTCTGCACGGGAGATCCTCAGGTGAGTTCCGCACGGCTGCACGGCCTCTTCCCCGGACACACAACCAGGCCAGGTCGCTGAACGGGCAAGGCCCCGTGCTCGAGCCGCGCTGAGAAACACGCCGCCAGCTGCCAATTGCCGCACGTTTGCATTCCGGTTTTCTGGAGGCAAAAGCCAACGTGGTGTGGGCAGGCGAGTGCCCCATGGCACGGGACACAGCCAGTGGTTGAAAGGAAACACGGGCATTGCTTTCGGACGCGTTTACACGGACGTACAAATTACAGAATGTACAATCATCGGGTTCAAACGCGCAGCGGCAGTCCTCTTCTTTTGCGCAATTCCGTAAATCATCCGTCATTCATTCGCTCATTCATCCGATTGCTTAGGAACGTCAGGGACGATCCTTTACTGGACGCACATCCCTCCTCTGCGAGGACCGCGCCCGCCTCTTTCTCCACGGAAAGCCTTGGCGCAACTCCGCCAGTGTGCCGAGGGAATCGTCACGAGGGGCGGGTATTTAAAACGCCACTGTCAGCAGTCTCACTGTACAAGCAGCAAACGAATGCAATAAAATACGGGGATTTATTTCACAAAGATTACAAACGCGAGCGAGTGCACCCACACTCACACGACTGCCCACTGCAGCTCAACAGGAGGGCGAGTGTCTCAGGGCGGGTGAGAAGGGCAACTTTTTATTTTATTTTCCGTGTTTTCTTCTAAACACAAACTGGCCAAACAGTCTACAAAGGGTCAAAGCTGCAATGCGTGTACGTACGCACAAGTTCAAATATACACGGTACACGCGATAGTCGATGCACACCCACACGCACAGAGCTACGTGCGTGCACACACACACACACACCGGTATACACAAATACAACACGTGCATATGCTCGCATACCCACACACGCACACCAGCACATAGACAGTGGTGATGTTTACACACCCGCACCAGGTACTCATTTGAGGCAGAGTGGACCTAGGGGAGGCCCAGGACCGGTTCAGATGATAGTCACCGGTGTTTGGCCGTGAGCGGGAATCGAACCCGGGTTGCCGGGTTCTGAGCGCAGCGTAGCGCTAACCGCTCCCCACACACACTACCATATACAAACACACAAGCACATGCACACGACCAGGCACGCACACACGCGCAAGTGACACCGCATGCACACGCTGGAGTGCAGGCACACGGGCAAACCGATTGTGCACCAAGCACGTGTTCTAGTGTTATTGAAAACCAGGAAACCCCCGACTGGACACGGGGAGAGGAGGCAAACCAAAACGGGTACAAATAAATTAAATAAATCAAATAGCTACGACCTAGTAACTGAACAATTTACAAAACATTACAAATAAAAAGATAAAAAAAAATCTACAAAGGATGGCAAAATATTATACCGCACACGAACCAAGGGTCACCCCCTTGCGTTTGGATGGAAGCTCAAGGAACCCAGGTGCCAGATTTGCAAACAGGGAACGACAAATCAGTGGGACACAAAACACTGCCGACACTCGCCATACACACAGCACTTACGCAGACTACAAATACACAGGCAAACCACCAGTCACACATGCATACTGCTTCCACACACACACAACTGTCTCACTAGCGCAGCGCTCGCACGCGCTCCAACGCATCGCTTGTACACAATGCACTGCTCTCGGAGCGCACCGCTCACAAGCACAGCACGCGCTCCCCACACGCTCTGCACTGCTCACAAACGAAGCACACTACACCCACACACGCTCCGCACTGCTCACAAACGAAGCACACTACACCCACACACGCTCCGCACTGCTCACAAACGAAGCACACTACACCCACACGCTCTGCACTGCTCACAAACGAAGCACACTACACCCACACGCTCTGCACCGCTCACAAACGAAGCACACTACACCCACACACGCTCCGCACCGCTCACAAACGAAGCACACTACACCCACACACGCTCCGCACTGCTCACAAACGAAGCACACTACACCCACACACGCTCCGCACTGCTCACAAACGAAGCACACTACACCCACACACGCTCCGCACTGCTCACAAACGAAGCACACTACACCCACACACGCTCCGCACCGCTCACAAACGAAGCACACTACACCCACACACGCTCCGCACCGCTCACAAACGAAGCACACTACACCCACACGCTCTGCACTGCTCACACACAGTCCGAGTGCCCACCACCCACCATGCTCAGGAGGGAAGGAGGAGGGGGGGGTGTTTGTGTGCACGGCACCAGGGGCCTCCTCGAGGAAGGTAGAGAAGGGGGTCACATCACGCCGCTCACCGCCTTCCCCATACAGTATATCATCATCATCGTCGTCGTCGTCATCACCACCCTCGCCATTATCGTCATCAACCTCCACCGCAATCATCGCCAACACCTCATCACCGTCACAACGTGCCGCCCCCCCCCCTCCAGGTGACTTCTCTCCGAGCGGCGTCACCGCCACGGGCGGCGGCTTCCGGCCGTGCCCACGGCCGCCACTCTCTCCTGGCGTCGCCCCCCCCCACTCCGTGTCTCAGAACAGCATGCTCTGCCGCCTGCTCTTGCCGTTGGCTGCGAAGGGGCAGAAGGGCGAGAGGGCGCGTTCACGGCGGTGGGGAAACAAGGGGGCTCCGTGTGCGCGTGTCCCCGTGTGTGCCCTGGGGTAGCCGAGCGACACTAGTCGCCACACGCTGCGTCTCGGTAGACTGCAGGACGCGTGGGGCGAAGGCATCAAGAGAGGTGCAGGGTGCATCCCTGCAAGTTCTCGCTACTGCTGGCAGAAGGGCCTCCCGCTAGAGGGAGCTCTAAAGAGAGTAACTCAAGGGGGTATATTTTGGCCTACTCTTCCATGCAGGCACCGAGTCGTGGAGGAGGCTGGAGTACCCACACTTTAGCGCACCGAGCGGAACCTGCTGCCGACTCACTGTGGTGAACCCGTGTATGCCGCTGGGTGACAGAGACGGGGAGGTTGAATAAACCTTCCCCATCGTTTCGACTGCCGGTGTGCTCACCATTACACCACGGTATGGTTCAATAAATTACCTCCAAGCCTGTGGAGCTTAAATCGTTAATGTGTTTGGAATTTTTATTCATGTGCTTTCGTTATCTCTTAAATGCCATCTGGAAAAAAAGAAATCTTCATACCAGCCACGACAATCGCGATATGACAATACCGTGCGAAAATGGACGACAACAATAATGGTGGATCTTACATCGTACGATATATTATAATGCAGGAACCATGGTAACCAATAATCCGAATCCATAATGCTACCATTAAAGGCGGTCTTAATCCTAACCATAACCCCTAAACCTAACCGCAGGTCTTCACCCTAATCTAAACCCTAATCCCGAAGCCCATCCCCTACGCAACTGACCGTAACGTTATCCCCGCAGCTCGTAACGTTCTGGCGCGACCACATGGGCACAAACACACACCTTCCCTCTCCTCACACGACTCTGAAGGCTAAGCTTGGAATGGAATGGCGATAGGCGGAGGGTGGGTGTGAAACGACAAGGAGATAGAGAGACAGAGAGAGGAGGGGGTCCACGGGGAGTAAAGATGGGTGTGTGGGGGGGAAGGGGTGTGTGGGGGGCGAGGGAAGGATTGCGTACCCGTTTGGGCCCCGCGTTGTGGGGGGGGGGGAGCCCTCCCCGTCAGTTTGCCAGGTGCTTGTGAGCGTGACACTGAGCCGCGGAGAGAGGCCTCATCTCAAGGGAGGCAGAGAAAGCTTACGGAGGAGATGAGCACAGGAGACACACGGCACAGCGGCAGCAGCAGCAGAGAGCACGCAAACGAGCACGGGCAGACAACACAGGGCACAGGCCCGAGTGAGCGCGACAGCCGCACGTCTGCATGAAAGGGAGGTCGCGAAAGGTTTGTGGCCCACCACACAGAATGAGCAGCACTGCAACCAAGGACGAACGTTCCGTGCCGTTCAAGGAAGTCTTATTTCGAAGGGTCACAACACTTTAAGGCAGCAGCAGAAAAAAAAAAACTCTTGTTGTTTTACAGGCATTGAAATTGTATTGATGAGCGCGTCCAGGGGAAAGGACTGAGAACACCCTGCGTGACATACGGGACACAAAATCCCATAAACTACTATACAATTCTGCCCTCCCTCCCGTGCCGTCCGCGTGCCTCGCGGAGAAGAGAGCGTCCACTCGCGAAAAACCCGCGAGTGAGGAGTGAACGGGGGGTGGGGAGTGCGCTGTGAGCGGGCGGCATGGGTGACGAGACAAAACTCGCTTCTGGGCAGGGGCGAGAGACGAGGGGTGGGGGCATTGCTGGCCCAGCGCACCGCACCTCAGGGGGTCCTGCCCATGCAGATTCATCAATCGTTGCTGCTGGTATTAAACCGTGGACTGCGGGTGACGTGCACTGGTCAAGGTGCTGCTCAATCAGCACGTGGCACTGCTCACAGCTGTTGATGGACTTGCACTAGTGGTGGGAACTCCGCATTAGCATGGTCGGGATAATTTCTCCGCATAATACAGCCACCACTGACTTCTCACAAAGTGGTTCACATTTCATCGACCCTGGTGCAATGGCGATCGTCAAACTCCGACCAGGATGTGACTTCGCAACTTTCCAATTGTGAGTCAAGCGTTTCCCATTGGCTCCCTGTGGCTAGATCAATAACATCGGATTTACCGAGGACTGATGTTCAATAAGTATATCCGCTGTCCTGGTTGAACAATGTCTTTCTCCAAAGGATACGGAATAGGTGGCATTGCATTACCCACGCGTAATTCACGAGCAAAGAACAACCCACTGGCAGGCAAGGGAAGGTAGAATGGACGGAGAAATGCTGCGACATGTGGCGCTACAGAAAGGGCCACGCCGTCCCCGGTGCGAGTACCTGCTTCGTGGTAAGGCGTCGTCCTGTGACCGAGGTCTCGCTGCAGCTGCACTTCCTTGAGTGCGAATATCGACACAACTGGGGGGGGGGGGGGCGGGGGGGGAAACATAGATCGACACAAAACAGCGAAAGCATGAGCGCAGGGGAAGATGTCTCACAGCGGTCCGCGCCCAGTTCCAGAGACTGAAACCCGGGCACCTCGGCAAAAAGGGGGCACCTTGAAAGCGACGCACGTACAGACCCCCAGGGATTGAACCGAAACCCTCACCAGGTCCCCCCAGCTCAAGCCTCCCATCTCGGCGACGCAAGCTCAATGTCGGTGCCGGAGCAAGGGCGGCGGCGCCGCCCGAATTTGTTGCAAACGAAGCGAGCGGTGGTGGCCGGTGGCTCCAATTCGTGGTGGGGCGGCGCCGGAGCCGTAGAGCGGTGGGAAGGGGGGTTGGGCGAGGGTGGCACTTTGCCCCGGGTGCCAACACAAATAGCTACGGCTCTTGTCTCTCACGCAGCCGTTATGAATCCCCAGAGAAACACACACACACACACTCAGTCCCATTGGTTGAACATAAGACTCGAGCGTTGCGAACTCTGCATCGCCGACAGCCATTGTGAACCCACTGGGAGAGAGGCAGAGGCCGGACACTTGAACTTCGGATATCAGTTGCGAGCTCAGCATCTCAGACTCAACGATTATGAACTCCATGAGCCTGCTGCCCCGCCCCTGATCCCGTCACGTTGTCACATCTCCGCGTCGCAAGGGAGGCAGCCGCGCGGAGACGCCGCTGGCACGTCGAACGCTCGCGACACGCGCCTCGCTCGCGTCGTACCGTCGGGCAGCTTGTGCAGTCTCTCCCCGAGGCTCTTGAAGTACGGGTGCCGCATGCCCTCCTCGGCGGACACCCTCCGCCTCGCCTCGTACTGGCGGGCACAGGGCGGGGCAGGCACAACGCACTCATGGAGGCAGAGTCACGCGGCGGCGGCGGTGGCGGCGGCGGCACAGAGCACGCGGTCTCACACTGCACGCGATAATGTCAAGAGGCCGTCGTGGGCCAACGCCGATTGCGCTGCCACACCTCACCATCTTGCAGTTGTTCCAGTCGACACCGGACCACCACAGTCTCGCTTGAGCTCTTTCCATTGTTACTTAGTCGACACGTCCTTCAACAATCTCTCTCTCTCTCTCTCTTACAGACTCATCACCACCACCGTCTGGCCTGGGGCCTTCCAATCCATCACCGACATCTGGGTGCCACTCCGATGCCCATGTCGGCGACCCGCCCTCCTCCATCCTGCACAGGTGACCCACCAATCACAACCTCCTCTTCCTGAATACATCCACAACGCTGTCTTGGAGAAATGCGGCCACTGGTGGCTTCCCGGCACACAATGATGAACCTCACCAAGCACCACAGAGGGATGGCTCGTGGTGATAACCCTGGCTGGGATTTGAACTTAGGGATTAAAAACCCAGGAAACCTCTCTCCGACCTCGGGTGAAAATTCGTACGTGTGTTCCAACGAAAAATAAGTAAACAGAGCCCTCGTACACAAAGTCAATGGAAAACGAGCGCACGTTATGGAACAATGGAAACAATACGAGACTAAACAATGTGGCACTCGTACAAACAAACAATATGGCACTCGTAATGGAAGCCTCTCACACAATAGGCAAAATAAATTATACACGAAATCAAATAATACCATCAATCGTACACACCGAAGTGGTGGTCACAAGCTCCCCGCAATCACTCTCACCACGACAGGGCACTCACTGTTCTTTATATTTATACCAATAATTCCATGGAACTAATTTTAAAACTTTCATTCGAGTCACTGCATGCGTCACTCCACCACTGGTTGCCGATTCCGCCCAGTCTCCGTAGACGACAGAGGCCCAGCAATGAGTTAGTAATGGGAATGCAACACGAGGGTCAACGTTAAAATTTACCAATGGAGAAAACCCACACTAGTTGACCACTGGATGACTTTTATTCATATGGATTGATGGGTTCGCAAAACTACTTGCTGTACTGCCATCTCCTGGCTACCTCGAAGCTCGGAGGGTCTAGGAATGTAACAAACCTATCACAAGCCACCCAACCCGCGCCTCCAAAGCATTCTACGACAGGCGTGCACCAACAAGCTGTCTAAAAAAGGTACCGCTTGAAATTCCACCCTTAACTGGTTGAATCCTTAAAACATATCAGGTGTTTGTGGATGACAATCTTTTGGCCAGGTTCCCTAACTGATCAGGGCGTGTGCGTTCACAAAGGCTCACCTGCAAAAGCTTCGAGAGCAGATCCAGGCCATCCGCATCAAGCCTGCAACACACGTCGACAGAGGCGATCACGTGAAGCAGCGATCAAAGTCAAGAGCGTTTCTTCGCTCAAACCAGCGATGGGGTAGGGACACCCTCTCAACAGGCAGCCCTGAACCAAAAGTGTAAATGTCACATCCCCATTGCACCAACGTTGTCAATGAGACGTTGCTGATAGAGCCGCGCCCCCCTTCACGCAGGGGCGCTTTACACGTGATCACATCTCAAACATTCCAATCATGCCCCCCCCCCCCCCCAGTGGCAGCTGTCCCTGTAATGGCACAGGGAGACTCAGCACCTGACCTTGTAAAGAGGGGCATTCGTCTGCCCATGGGGGACAATGATTGCTATTGTGTAATCCCAACTTGGTAATTTGCGGGTCATTTTTTTATCTAGCAATCTTGGGACCACGACGCCGGCACACGATGCCCAACATGTTTCAATTACGTCACGGGCTTTGCAACATCCGCGGTGAAGCGGACGGCACGTATTTTATTGTTACTACACCGGCAGTAATAACCAGGGTGGCCTGCGGGATTCCAACCACGAACATCAGCAAAACACGTACCTACCCCTGGGCCATGTCACCGCCAAAATTATAGGAACCAGTATATTCACAAGATTATCACTGCTGACGTCCCACAAATCGGTACGAATTTTATGGGCCTCTAAGGGATGAAACGACTGAAGAATAAAAGTTTTAATCAGTGCACACATCAGAGAGATAGACAATGAACATGCATCAAAAGATGAAAAGTGACAAATAAGCGTAGAGAGATGCACGCTGGGAATTACGCTGAGTGACAGGAAGAGAAACACGCGGATCACGGAAAGATATGCAAATCGGAGACAACACACAAACTGTTAAGAACAGGGAAGTGGACTTGGGGAGGACACGTAGCTGGAAGGGACAGCCAAATGGACAAGAGCAGTGACAGAATGGCAGCCCAAGGCAAGTATGTGGCAGAAGTAAGCAAGGTAGGACGTTAGGGTGCCCCATTTTGCTTTATCCAGATCGATGGTGAAGGTGCACGGCGGGAGCGCGAGCGTCGCCGCTCGTCCCGTCATCGACAAGCCCAGACGCAGCGCCGCTTTGCTCAAGCGACCCGGACGCGAGCCGCGACGGTGGCCGGCGTTGTGCCGTGAAGCCCAGGAAGGGGAAGGGGGGCGGGGGTGCTGGCTGGGCAGCAGGGCCTCACCGCGGAGCGTGGTTGATGAGGGGCTCCGCCTTGTACTTGGGGAATTTGTAGGCCTTGTACTCTTCGTGCGCCAGAATCGCCGGCCACGTGTCCTCCGAGGGCGTCCCTAGACGCGCGCACACGCACCGAGCGGGGGGGATCTGAGCTCCACCAGACTTTCCGATCGTTCACTAATTTCAATAAGCAAATGCCCGATTGCTTATACGGTTGTTTGTTGTTGTTTATATGTTGTTGTTGTTGTTGCTGCTGCTGCCTTTCAGGGTAGTTCCCTGACAGGGCACTTGGAGAGTTCAGGATGGACAATTCTCAAGCTCTTGACCCCCAACACTGTCCCATGCGTCACAGCGATTAAAACCCAAAATATATGGCCAAGCGTCTCCCTGCTCCAACCAGCGTGGCGCACTTCTAAACCACGGTGGCAACCCTGAGCTTGCGGTGGAAATTCCTCATTCTTATGCCAAGTGCCAGTTCGTTTACAGGATAGCAACCCTTGACCGCCCACAAATAATGCTCAATTTATCTGCCTTGGGATGACCGGCCGAGTCAACACCTGGCTGGGGATTGGAAGCCGTGACCTTTCTGACTGTAGGTCAAGTGCCCCAATTAGAGCCGCGCGTAAAACACGTGCGTGTGAAGAGACGCGTGCGCGTGTGAAGAGCCGCGCGTCCGTCAGGAGCGTCGACCGAATGTCATTCTTAAGCTCACAACACAAGCACTGAATTCAGCACAAGAGAAACGGTTATTCTGAAGAACACAAATCATTTGAACGCTTCCTTAAGGGCACAAAAGGTCGAAACAAGGGAGATATTACAATGCAGACAACAATGAAAGTACAAGAAGTACAAACTGGACTATCAAAATACGACCAACAGTAAACACATAACACACAATTTGAATTGAATAACAAATAAATAATCCGGACTTAAAGCTTTCGTGACTGCAGGAATTCATATTCTTTGGGTCTTTCGGTAAAGTGACGTAGATAGATAAAAAAAAATAACAAAAAAACTACAACGTTTCCATCGCAACGCAAGCGTTCGTCATCAGGAAGAAAAAATATTTGTTAAATCGTAGGGTGAGGAGCCGATCGTTAATTCCCGGTGTATAGCATCATCTTCATTATTGCTATGCTTACATTTTTATTCAAAGCTTTCGTGACTGCAGGGATTCACATTATTGGTTCTTTCGGTAAAGTCACGTAGAAGGGAAACAATAAAATAATAAATATATAAAACAATAAAATTATCACGGCGTTTCGACTGCAACACAAGCAAATCATCATCAGGTGTGAAAACCACAGCAAGAAAATTTGAAAAAAGTGGCGTTTTTTTAGCGTTAGCAGCACGGAGAGCGATTTGACAGTTTATTCAGATGGACGAGTCATCTATGCTCGGAAAAGAGGGGGGAGACGAAAATAATGTATGCGGTCTGAAAGCCACCGTAAGCGTGAACAATCAATTAAGACCCGAAATGGTTTATCAAATCCTTCCAATGATTGCTAAGCCAGAATCCATCTTCTCGGTTGAAATTGTCTCTGTGTTTGTATATGTGGATGGCCTCATGAACGAATCTCTCATAGTAGCCGGATGGCTTGCAGAGAACCTCCGTCTTGGAGAAGTCAATGTCATGTGAGCCCACTGAATTATAACAGTGATCTACCACGGCCGAGGTGTTGGTCCTACCGTGTTTTAGGTCTGCTTTGTGTTCACGGATGCTGTCCGAGACATATCGCTCTCCGTGGTGCTAACGTTAATAAAAAAACGCGACTTTTTTTCAAATTTTCTTGCTGTGGTTTTCACACCTGATGATGATTGCAGTCGAAACGTCGTGGGAATTTTATTGTTTTATATATATTTATTAGTATTTTACTGTTTCCCTTCTACGTGACTTTACCGAAAGAACCAAGAATATTGCTATGCTTGTTTTTGTATTGGAAACAAATGACGAAATGTGCAGTGGACACCTAGGGGCTATCTGCCCATGATGAGGGGTCCTGCAATAATTTTGCAGTTGGGGGGGACATGCATTGCGAGGTGCATTCCAATCAAGCAGGCAGGTTTTCAAATTTGCCAAAATGTGGACCCGCGGCACCAGCACACAACGGCCTGCTCTAGCGAATGACGTCACGGGATCTTTAACGTCCACAGTGAGGCAGACGGCGCGCGGTACGTACTTCTGTGGTTCATAAACCGGGGAAGGCCGCCGGATTTGAACCTTGAACCGCTGCCACAAGCATGCGCTACCGCCGGGCAGCGTCATCGCCCAAACCTCGAGAGCCGTAAAACATAGAGAGCGGCGCCGCACACACGCAACGTACCCAGCATCCTGAAGATGAGAAGCAGCTCATCCTCGACCGTAGACCCCGGGAACAGGGGCCTCCCAGCAGCCATTTCAAAAAATATACACCCAACTCCCCTGCCACAGATGCACGCACGCACGCACGCACACGCAGGTATTAATGAACCATCTCCTAACACCAGGGCTACACCTCTCTGCAAACCGGATCCCCGAGCCTTGGCGTCATCGTTCAACGGTACTGATACAGGCTGTGTCTCCGTCTGGCTCTGTGAGCCTCAAGCATTAACAGCGGGGATGCGATGCGTCGATTCGTCGACGGATAGAAGTGTTTGGGCTCCGTGACAAGTGCGTCGAGTCACGCGTTGGAAGCCAATGTGCTTTCCATTCGCATGCAATGGGATCACGTGACCCCTGCAGCCACTAGAGGGCTCTGCATTCGCCAGCCACATGGTCAAATCAAATGTGGTTCTTGCAGCGAATTGAGCCGGCACCAACAATTGCCCAAGCTCTATGGTCTTCTACATTTGAAGATGAGTCAGACAATTCATGAGTGTTAATACATAGGGGAGGAGACCGGAGAACACGGAGAAATCCTACGCGTGCGAGGTCTCCAATTCTCTATTTCCGTACAGATGGAAACAGACGGAGATTAATCCACTTGACTTACTACCATCTCTTGGCGAGCCAAAATGTGTGCACAAGAACATGTTGTCTGTCCGTCCTGCAGGCAATGGGATGGGTGTGACCCCTGCTGGTCTCAAGAGAAGATCGATCCGTGGCACCGGGCTCGTCACCTGTCAACGGGACGTGCCCACCACGTCCAGGCTTACCACATGTCGATGGGCGTTGAGTACTCGGTGGAGCCCAGCAGCACGTCGGGAGGCCGGTACCACAGCGTCACCACCTCGTTTGAGTACGTCTTGGTCGGCACAGACTTGGCTCGGGCGAGGCCTGGCAAGGGAATCGCGGTCACCACCATCGTGAACCATTCCCTTGCTAACATTCCAACAGGAGGGGTCACGGTGCCTGTGAGAGGCTGGCGAGGGTGAGTGAAGGGTGAGCGAGTGTGAGCGAGGGTGAGCGAGTGTGACCCGGGGTTGTGGGGGTACCGAAGTCGGCCAGCTTGAGCTCGCCCTTGTCGTTGATGAGCAGGTTCTGGGGCTTGAGGTCCCGGTGTAGCACCCTCCGCTTGTGACAGTACGCCAGGCCCCGCAGCAGCTGGTACAGGAACAGCTGCACGCGAGCACCGCACAGACAGCCGCCAAGCAGCAGCCGCGGGCCCATTAGCGGCGCCGCCACTCAAGCGGTGCCGGCACGCACGCCGGGCCATCCCGAGGACGCACTGCGGCACTCCGTGCCACCGAGCTGTGGCAACATCTGTAGGTGTCACGGGCGGCAGGGCCGTGCAGAGTTCACGCTCGCCCTTCGCTGCAACAAGCTCCTGGGGGGTTCAATTCCTGGCTCTGGCGCCTGTGTGGAGTTTGTACGTTTTCTCCCTTGTTCTGCATGGGGTTCCTCGCATGGATGAATTAAACATGACAGTGTAATTGCTATTGCTCAAAACATCCCAATGCTGAAAAAAATAGCTGTACATTACTCAGATGGTGAGAATAGGTTTTCGCCTTTTTTCTGGCAACAAAACAGCTGTGTTAAGATGTTAAAACACCAAACTGAAACCTTTTACAAGGAATCATGTCTGCATTAACCACAATACCAGTACTTGTGGTCAGAATGCAAACAAAAACTACTCTGATAATATATGCAATGTCTTTGAAACTGATTGGTCCACACCAGAGACAGCTGAACGCCTTTTGGCGTCCTCTGGCCTAACACAGGTTTGAGACGAGGCTCAAAAGAAAGCTCTCTGGTGTGGACCAATCAGTTTCAAGGACAATGCATCATATTATCAGAGTATGTTTTTTGTTTGCATTCTGACCACAAGTATTGTGGTTAATGCAGACATGATTCCTTGTAAAAGGTTTCAGTTTGGTGTTTTAACATCTTAACACAGCTGTTTTGTTGCCGGGAAAACCTCTTTTTGTTCCTGGCAAAGGAGGTCCCCCCATGATGTAGATGCTCAAGTTGGTGTTGCACACAACAGCAACATCGCCCCCTACAGCGAAAACTTGGCAAGATGTTCCGAAAAAACTCTTGAGACCCAGCGAGCTCTCCCGGGTAAATGAGCATCTTAAAAACAATAATAATAATAATAAACTCGATATCACTTAAACAATACATGCGCACATCACTTGCTTTTCCCATGGTATCCCTTGCAGGCCCCTCTGCCTTATGTGCGTGCACCGTTAACAATTATTATTCTGGGACATTATGTTTTAAGTCAGATACAACGGGCACAGGGTAGAGGACACAATTCCTTGCATTCAACTGGGCTCTGAGACGAGCCATCCAGGCAAGAGCGGAGCACACGAGGGTAGCCTTTCAGCCCCAGCACTGCCGAGATCAACGGTTAAAATTAGGCCGTGACTCAAGTGAAACAAAGAGTCTCCCCTGCGAAAGGGAGCAGCAACGCCACGCTCCTGAGCCAGCGGTGCTTCTGAGCCGGTGGTAAACATTCCACATGCCTGTGGCAGGCACCAGTCCATGGGCCAGACAATCCATAAGGATTAATCACAAAACCCGTGTTCATTTTATCGATCTCGCCGACGGATGACGGGCCGTGTCGACCCATGCGGCCACCCCAATTGCAAGTCGAGCAATCTGACCCTTGGTGCCATCCAGCCGACCGGACGGCTGCTGCGTCGGCTCCAAAAAAAACGCGTTGTAAATCGAAAGCAAAGGTCGTACGTAAAAGGAATGTTCCGTGTGGTGGGATAAGAGCACTACGGGGCGAGCTAGGGCGGAGGCAGGCCCACGAGAGTTCGGAACTCGCCTTGACGTTGTGCATGTGCATGATGTTTCCACAGTCGTCCATGTATTGCTTCAGGTCCTTTTCCTGTCGAACACAATCAGGGGCACGCGGACACGCCACAATCTGAACACCCGCGGGTTCAAGGGCGACGCCAAATCGCAACGGACACCGGGTAGCACGAGCGCAGTGCAACTGCAGGTGCTGGAAGCGATGAATACATACATGACGAACAATGCCGATGTGGAGGGGGGCACGGCACGTACCAGGTACTCAAAGACGAGAGTGAGGGACTTGTCGGTGTGGATGATGTCGTGCAGCGTGACGATGTTCGCGTGCTTTAGGTCCTTCAGCAGGGACACTGCGGGCGAGGAGAACATCGTGACAGTCAAGAGATCGCCATGGGCAACGATGCCGACGCTGACACTGACCGCTTCGCTCGTCTATCAAAACACATTCCTACCTACACAACCAGCTACCTGGTCGGATAAGGGTCTCGGAGGCCCCATCCTTGCATGATCCACCCCCTTGCCCCACACAAGCATAAGCAGTGTTAGTGAGGAGCTGCCCCCTGGTTGTGGGTGTTGGTGAGGAGCTGCCCCCTGGCTGTGGGTGTTGGTGAGGAGCTGCCCCCTGGCTATGGGTGTTGGTGAGGAGCTGCCCCCTGGCTGTGGGTGTTGGTGAGGGTGAGGAGCTGCCCCCTGGCTGTGGGTGTTGGTGAGGGTGAGGAGCTGCCCGCTGGCTGTGGGTGCCGTGCCCCCGTGGGTGTGCTGCTGCGCACCCTCGCGGATCGCGGTGCAGGGCGCGCCCTCCTCGTGCTCCAGGCGGATCTCCTTGAGGGCGACGAGGTTGTCGGTGAGTTTGCTGCGGCCCTTGTAGACCGTGGCGTAGGTGCCCTACACACCGGGGGGTGGAGCGGGGGGGGGGGGGAGTCACTCTCCACCGCGGGCGACACGACCACACAGTCACGACTCGAGTTCCTCTACTTACACCTCTCTATTAGCACCAAATCAGTCAAGTGGAGTAGGCTCCACATGCCTATGGCAGGAGTTATTTTGCCCATAGCACATACACGGATAAATTCTCACAAATGTGTACTTACTTTATTGACCCCAGAAGGATAATGGGCTAAGTTGACCCTAGCGAGGATTTGAAGAGGTGCAATAAAGAGGTGGTGGCACAGTGGTTAGGACGCTGCACTAAGAACCCAGCATGGGCCGAGTTCAATTCCCGGCAAAGGTTAACATCAGTTGCAAGTTCTATCAGAACTGGTCCTGTGCTTGACATCTTCACCAATCCGAACTGACCAGCGTGGTGAAGTATGGCCAAAACAATCCCCATGAACGACACAGCACGGAGAGTCGATATATAGGACAATCACATGAACTGAGTCACAGTCAACTCCCACAGGTAAGATATGAGCAGAGTGTATAGTGACTAGCATATTCACTCTCAACATTCTGAATGTGAGTACAACTTTGTAGACAGAAAAGAGCTCAAACACCAAGACTGGCTGCTGCCATACGAATGGCGAATTGTTATACAGCTGGCTGAGGGCTGTTACAGTGAGGGAAAAAAGTATTTGATCCCCTGCTGATTTTGTACGTTTGCCCACTGACAAATAAATGATCAGTCTATAATTTTAATGGTAGGTTTATTTGAACAGTGAGAGACAGAATAACAAGAAAATCCAGAAATACGCATGACAAAAATGTTATAAATTGATTTACATTTTAATGAGAGAAATAAGTATTTGACCCCCACTCAATCAGAAAGATTTCTGGCTCACAGGTGTCTTTTATACAGGTAACGAGCTGAGATTAGGAGCACACTCTTAAAGGGAGTGCTCCTAATCTCAGCTTGTTACCTGTATAAAAGACACCTGTCCACAGAAGCAATCAATCAAATTCCAAACTCTCCACCATGGCCAAGACCAAAGAGCTCTCCAAGGATGTCAGAGACAAGATTGTAGACCTACACAAGGCTGGAATGGGCTACAAGACCATTGCCAAGCAACAGGTGGTGCGATTATTCGCAAATGAAAGAAACACAAAAGAACAGTCAATCTCCCTCGGCCTGGGGCTCCATGCAAGATCTCACCTCGTGGTGTTGCAATGATCATGAGAACGGTGAGGAATCAGCCCAGAACTACACGGGAGGATCTTGTCAATGATCTCAAGGTAGCTGGGACCATAGTCACCAAGAAAACAATTGGTAACACACTACACCGTGAAGGACTGAAATCCTGCAGTGCCTGCAAGGTCCCCCTGCTCAAGCAAGCACATATACATTCCCGTCTGAAGTTTGCCAATGAACATCTGAATGATTCAGAGGACAACTGGGTGAAAGTGTTGTGGTCAGATGAGACCAAAATGCAGCTCTTTGACATCAACTCAACTCGCCGTGTTTGGAGGAGGAGGAATGCTGCCTATGACCCCAAGAACACCATCCCCACCGTCAAACATGGAGGTGGAAACATTATGCTTTGGGGGTGTTTTTCTGCTAAGGGGACAGGACAACTTCACCGCATCAAAGGGACGATGGACGGGGCCATGTACCGCCAAATCTTGGGTGAGAACCTCCTTCCCTCAGCCAGGGCATTGAAAATGGGTAGTGGATGGGTATTCCAGCATGACAATGACCCAAAACACACGGCCAAGGCAACAAAGGAGTGGCTTAAGAAGAAGCACATTAAGGTCCTGGAGTGGCCTAGCCAGTCTCCAGACCTTAATCCCATAGAAAATCTGTGGAGGGAGCTGAAGGTTCGAGTTGCCAAACGTCAGCCTCGAAACATTAATGACTTGGAGAAGATCTGCAAAGAGGAGTGGGACAAAATCCCTCCTGAGATGTGTGCAAACCTGGTGGCCAGCTACAAGAAACGTCTGACCTCTGTGATTGCCAACAAGGGTTTTGCCACCAAGTACTAAGTCATGTTTTGCAGAGGGGTCAAATACTTATCTCCCTCATTAAAATGCAAATCAATTTATAAAACTTTTGACATGCGTTTTTCTGGATTTTGTTGTTGTTATTCTGTCTCTCACTGTTCAAATAAACCTACCATTAAAATTATAGACTGATCATTTCTTTGTCAGTGGGCAAACGTACAAAATCAGCAGGGGATCAAATACTTTTTTCCCTCACTGTGCAGGAGAGACACACACAGCACCGCACACCCATCAAAGCAGGCACGCCGTTTGACTTGTGAGTTGCACGTAACAAAGACGTGGATGTCGCAGGGCAACACGCAAGGAGGCTTGTGAGTGCACGCGCGTGTCCGAGGAACACCCACCTCCCCCAGCTTGTCAAGCTTCGTGTACGTTTCCAGCTTGCCAAAGCCAATCTCCGACTGCGCAACACAAACACAGAGGGATCACGAACGATCGATGAGACCGGCACTGCCAGCGACACGGACAGAGAGACAAGTCTCTCCAACCCTGCGCCACTGTGCAATGTGTTGGGAGGGACACGTGTGCACGTTATGCGTCTGATTACCGAGTAGTTTACAAGTAGCATTTGAGTAGTGTTTAATGTGAGAATGGTATGCTTGTGGATGAGTAGTGGTGTGTACGAGCGAGTAGTGGCGTGGATGTGCGAGTGGTGATTTGAGTGAGAGCGCTTCTGGACGCGGCTCTGCCGAGCAGAGCGGGGCGGCAGGGCACGCACCAGCGAGGCCCTGCGGAGCCGTCTGCTCAGCGGCTTGTCGAAGGGCGGGCTGTTGAGCTGCATCTTCTCCAGGTAGCCCTCGGGCAGCCGGATGTCGGCAGGGAGCGATAACCTCTTGTTGAGATCCTGCAAGAAACGGGCAGAGAAACGGCTATCACCACCACTGGCATCCATCCTCCCCTAGCCCGCACGCACGCCGTACGGGACGCGTGCGTGCACGGGAGCGTGCACGGGAGCCTCCGTGTAAACGCACGCGTGCGTGCGTCGCCAGGGTGCAATTGCGCACGGTCCATTTACTGTATGTGTGTGCGCGCGTGTACGTCCATTGGTACATGTGATATGTATACATGTGTACGTGTGCACTCTTCTGGGAATTGTCGTGTAAGCGTGTGTTCACGCATATACATATGGGCACGTGGGTAGCTGTTGCGTGTGCGTAGATGTATGGGGCTGGTGTGCAATAATGTGTGCATCTCAGTGTGCCTGTTGGAGAGGTGCATTGCGTGTGCGCCGTGTGTAGGTGTGTTGGTGTGTTGACGTGTGTTGGTGTGCACGATTGTGGCAAGCGGTAGCAAAGTAGTTAGTGTGCTGTGCCAATAACCCAGTGACCTGAGTTTGAGTTTAGCTCATGGCCAAAATCGGTGACGAATATCTGAACCACTCCTGGGCCTCGCCTAGGTCGACTCGGCCTTGAATGAGTATCTGGCGCGGTGTGTAAACATCAGCACCGGGGAGACAAATGGTAGCCAGGGCATGGTGCTGACCACCCAACCCCTCGTGTGCCGTGCCGGCCTTTCATAGATGCTCGCTCACAGCACTTGCCCCAAAAGTCCACATGTGTTGGTCTGTACGTGTATGCGTGTGCGCGTGTTTGTGTGTCGGTCTGAGAGAGCAGTCCGCGTCTGGACGAGTGTGCATGCCCATTCGTCCACGCGTCGCTCACCTCCTGCGAGATGCGCCGGTGAGGGTGGTTCCGCATGCGCACGCGGACGGGCGACTGCACTTCGTCCGACGAGGTCCCCGACGCCTGATCGCTCTCTCCGTCCGAGCCCATCTTGAGATTCTCGTGCACAACGCCTGCGCCGCCCGGCAGTGGCGGGGAGGAGAGCGCGCGACGGATGAGAGCGAGCAATCGCGTAGGGTGGCAAGGGGCGTTACATGGGCAAATTCATGTGGTGAACGCACACATGTATTGCGCTCCATCGCCTAACGGAGGGTCTCCGAGTGCAAAGCTGCCCCTGTACAGCACAAGGCGACTCAACACCTGGCTCAGCGACGAGACATTCTGCCAGTATGCAGTGATGAATGTTTTTTTTGTATTGTTTTGCAAATTTGAACTGAGATTCTTTTCATATATGTGTATATATATATACACACACAGTTATGGGGTGGGAGGTGGGGGAACCAGGGCAACCCAGAGGAAACCCACGCAGAAAAGGGGGAGAACATGTAAACTCCACACAGAAAAGTGCCAGTCGGAAATCAAATCCAGGGCCTTTTTGCCGTGAGGCACAAGCGTTAGCACTGCACCACCCTGCACAGGAATAAATACGGGAAGACGCAGGGGAACAGCGATGCCTTGGCAAACAGAAATTTAAGGATATGCTTTGGGTCTTTCGGTAAAGTCACGTAGATAGGTACAAATTTTATAAAAAAATAATGAATATAAAATAAACACAAAAACTACGACGTTTCGATCACAACACAAGCGATTGTCATCAGGAGGAAAAGGGGGGAAAAGCTGCTGAATGCAGACTGTTTTGTAGGGTGTAGCCCTAGGGTCATAAACGAAGTGGGTGGGGCTAGTGATGTTAATGTGAGAGATTAGCATGTTAATTTATTATTATTTTAATACATGTGTACCTATCTACGGGACTTTACTGAAAGACCCAAAGAAAATGAATTCCTGCAGTCACGAAAGCTTTAAACATAATAAGCGTCATTGGGTTGAATCTTGTTATTTATAAATGTGTCGTAACCCTCCACCACCCGACACGGCCAATCAGTAAAAAATGTGTCACGGTGACAAAAGACAAAATAGTTCACACTACTTTAGCCCACCGGTGTGTTGACGAGCGAATCCACAGCATTTACAATTTGTGAGTACGACGTTTCGCTGGTAATTACATCCAGCATCATCGGGCAATTTGCCAGCATCGTGAGGCCCCCTCCACTTGCTCCCGGTCTTAAATAGAGCAGCGGCAGGGTGACGTCATCATCATTTAACCCATTCAGGTGCAGTGATTTGAGGGGGGGGTATTTACAATGTGTGTTATTCAATAACTTAACCCAATTATTATACCCAAGCAGGTGCAGAGATCAGAAGGGGGCAGAGGGGGGGGGGAGATGGTTATTGTAATTATACACTACGTTAGTAAATCAGTTAATTAGTATGTGTTTCCCCTATAAGGAATTGTCATAAGTAAATAAATTAAGGTGACAAGGGGCACACGGACGCACTGGGTTATGGGGACACCTGGGTACAAGGAGACACACGTACACACGGCAGGGTGAGGGGGGCGGACTTAAAGACAGGAAGGCACCTCACACGTGGACACGGGTAAATGGAGACACGGGTAAATGGGGACACAGCTGATGGCACAAAGACTCAGGAACCCGGAGACATGAAGACAAACACACCGGGATATGGGGAAACCTGCACAAAGAGACACGTGGCGTGACTCGTGAGCATGGGTTGGACGGGCTATCAGATACAGCACTGGCAGAACACACCAAATAACACTGCCATGGGTAAAAGGGTTCAATGTGCCATCGACCTGGGAGGGATGGTGGGTGAACTAGGCCTCGGCAAGGTAAGGCAAAAACAACGAGCCTACCTTTACCCTTACCCCATACAACTTACCCGATCACAGGGTAATTACTGGGGCACTACTACACATGAACAAGGTTTATAACAGGTAAATGTTAGGTAGAGCGCTTTATTCATATAGAAGATGATTCCAATTTTAAATGGAGGCCACAGACTGCGCCACGGAGCTTTTAGCGAGCGGTAAACAAGGTATTTACTGGGTAACACTTCACGCTACCTTTACCCTACCGGGTAATTCCTCAGCGCTACCTTTACCCTTTAACCCGGTAAAAAGGGTAAATTACCTTATCTTGCCGAGGCCTAGGGTGAACCCTGACGAGGTTTTGCGAGCGCCCCCACGTTTCGACCGGCCGCCGAGTGCTCTGAATAGAGCACCACCCAGCAGGACACGAGACAACTAAAACTATTGCAAAAAACACAGCCCTACACACAGCGTCCCAAAACAGCGGTCGCCTCTGACGGCACCAATGGAAACCATTTGCTTCCGCAACTTTACCATGGCTGACACGTGACGAAGTCGTTGATCACAAGGGATAAGAGTGACATTTAAGAATGTGAAGACAGCACCGTGCACCTTTTAAATACTGATACGTACAGTTCTATTATTTTCTGCAGGACCTCCGATATACACATTGTGCTGCCATTTTCGTCTCAACACAAAGGCGTTGTCCTTGACAACAGTCAAACCTGTGTGACCTCACAACCGCCAATCACAGTGAGGCTATGAACGCATTGGTTCTCTCTGGCCACCCCAATCTCCGCCGCGCAAGCCAAACGCTCGTGAATGGAGAGTGGCCAAACATCCCAATGTAAGACCTTCCTGAGGCTCCATCCATGAGGCTTCCCCCTGCATAGAGAGCTTCGTAACCAGCGGCTGTCTCGCGGAGATTGGCGGCGCACCGCCCCAGGTGAACGAGGGAGACGACGCTGCCCACTGGAGAAGGAAGGCACTGCCCTCGGCGGTGCCAGGCAGCGAGAGGAGACAGCGAAACAGCACCGCACAGTTTGGAGTAAATCTCCTCGCGTGCTCTCGAAACTGTCAAACAGGTAATAGAGAAAAATAGGGTTTTCCCCCTTTTTGGTCTGGCAACAAAACCGAAACCTTTTTACGAGAAATCACGTGTGCATTAACCACAATACTTGTGGTCAAAATGCAAACAAAAAACACACTATGATAATATATGCATTGTCCTTGAAACTGATTGGTCCACACCAGAAATGGCTTTCTTTTGAGCCTCGTCTCAATTGGTGCTAGACCAGAGGACGCCAAAAGACGTACAGCTCAAAGACAATGCCACTATCAAAGTAATGATGGCTCGGGGTAAGCATCGACATCATTAGACCTCATTTGTCAGCATTTTGAACACAAGTATTGTGGTTAATGCAGACATGATTCCTCGTAAATCGTTTCAGCTTTGTTGCCAGAAAAGGAGGTCTAATGAGGTAATATCGAGTAATTACTCTCTATTAGTTTTGAAAGTTTACAAAAGTTGGCTAAGCCCACCGGTGCACGCCTGCCCAGGCACGGAGCAAAAGCGACTCGCAACTAACGGGGGGGTTCTGGTGTGGGAGACGGGAAGCATGGGTGGTACTCGGGGCCTTCCCAAAGCCCTCTGCGCCACGGTTCCTGTGCCCCGTGGGGAATTGCTAATGGCTGAGAATACAAGGAGTCCTGCGGGTGCCGACTCGGAGTACAAAAACAAGGAGGCGTTAGGATCCCGTACGGATCCTCGCAGCCCTACACCCCCCCCCCCCTCCCGCAATCTCCTCCGACCGCAATCCCCTCCCCGGCCCCGGGCGGCTGAAGCACCGAGGTGATGCCTGCCGCCGCCGTTGCTGCCGCCGCCGCTTCCTCCGACGGCGTCACCAACCCCGGCGTCGCCGCCGTCGCCCCTGTGCCGCGGTACGGAGAGGTTGGCCGGCAGCACGGGGCCACCCATCACGCTGCGAGGCCTCCGTAGGGGCGGCTTGCGCAGGCTGCCCGCGTACTGGTGCAGGAAGGAGTGCATGCTGTGCGAGGCGGGCGGCTTTCCGTTGCGCACCACGGCGTCCGTGCGCGTGCACGTGCCTGTGCCTGTGCCTGAGCGCGCGCGTGCGCCACGAGGGTGTACGATATCGCAGAGTGTGCGCGCGAGCGTGCGGGGGAGGGAGGGAGGGGGGGGGATGCGTTAAGGACCCAGGCGGCCGCGTGTTCGGACCCCGTTTGCGTTTCGGTGAAGGCCGTCGGTTTACACGCCGTGCGTTCGACATTCGGTGGATGGCCAATCATGCGTGGAGTGTGGCGGCGGGGGTAAGCGGAGATGCGCACGTGATCCGAATGCCCGGGAGGGCGGAGAGCAGTCGAGCAGAACCGTAAGGAAAAGGTTAAACAAATCATAACATTGGGAGCAGCAGCGATAGCATGGCACGTGCAGCGAGAAGGGTGCACGCAAAGTAATGTGTGCAACAGACGTGTGAATGTGTGCGAGGGGTACAGAAAGTGCTTTGCAAATGCAGACAAACATGTGCAGATACACATATATACAAACATGCAAACGCATAGACACGTTCACACAAGTGCAGACATGCGCAACCACACGCACACAGACACACATGCACATAGACACACATGCACACATATACGCAAACAAATAAATAAAACACAGGCACGCACACACACATGCAAAGATACAAGCAGACGTGCGTACATGTACACGCAGAGAACAGGCAAAGACACACACACATACACAAGCAGACAAACACACACAGACAAACGCACACGTGCAGATATGTACACACACAGAACAGGCAAAGACACACACACACACACAAGCAGACAAACGCACACAGACAGACGCACACGTGCGGATATGTACACACACAGAACAGGCAAAGACACACACACACAAGCAGACAAACACACACAGACAAACACACACGGACAGACGCACACGTGCATGCACACGCACAAACCGAACGTGCGGTACGCACGTCGTGTGTCCGGACTCGCCGGGGGCGTCCAGAGACAGAAACGTGGCGTCCGTGCGGTCACAAGCGGCAGCGACGATGTTGGAGGGCACGCGGGTGGGCACAGGGAGCAGGGGGGGGGGTGGAAGAGGGAGGCGCACGAGCCAAACGAGGAACGGGGTGGGAAGGACGGACGAGGAGGAAGAAGAGGAGCAAACAAAAGAGAAACAAAAGCAACAGCAAAAAATGAAACAAGAATAAATCATAACACAAGGGAGGTCTCTGTGCCGGCGTGCCCGGTCGCTGACAGGCACACACGGGAGCGAGGCGACGGAGTCAGATTTTAAAGCGAGTATTCTGAGAGTTTACGCAACATTCCTCAAACAAGTCCAAGTGCCTTCCCTCCTTAAACAAACTCCTGGACGGCGCTTTTCTTGTTTGTCTGCCTTCGGGCCAGTCGTGGATATCCCTCATTCCCATGCAGTCTGTCCCATTAGATAACACTGCTGACATCCCATACAGAGGTATTTGTTTCATTGACCTTGGGAGAGATGTTAGCCGAATTGAATTACTGCAAGCGAACAGATCGCAATTGCCACTGCACAGATTGGTCACGAGTTTAAATCCCAATCCGTTGGTCAACTCAGCTCACCATTCCTCCATGGCCGATAAAATAGGTACCACTTTATTGGAAGTCACCAGTAGCCACATCATGGAGATACTGTTCCCTGCCAAGGGAATGTGGATTTTCCACCGCCGTCTCTGGGCCGCTAACAGAGATGAGTGCCGCCCCAATGCTCATTCGAGCAGGGAGACAGCTTCACTTTCCGTAGGCAACGTGGAGTAAGATATAGAGCTCGCACTGCCCCGCCCCGATGTGTGCTCGTCATTACACGTGCCCTGTCAGCAAACCAAGAGCGAGAGGCCAGGCAAGGTAGCTCAGGCATAGTCGGGAGCATGACCCCGCCACCAAGGCGGCCAGCATTACGTCGAACCAATGCGGGGAAACACAAATAACCCGAGAGCCAGGGAGAGTAAGGGCAGCCTTAACGTGCCACTGCTGCATCGTCGCAGTGCCCTCGTCTCTGCGCTCCACTGCGGTCTGTGCGTGCTTCGTGCACGGCTCTTCTCGCCAACCACGACAGAAAATTGGTCCAAAGCAGTTATTGCTTTGGACCAGCAACACCCAGCAAATGTAAGCAATACGAAGTGATTGCTTCCATTGATAAGGCAATTGGAAGACACCGCTTACACCGAGTAGCACGTATCGACGTTGAGCTTATGTCCTGTGATAAGCAATATCAATGTGTTAGGTTGAGTATTGCATTGTGAAAATGTCAATACTACGGTAATACCTTTGTTCATTAAATGCCACGTGATGTAGCTATTACGGTGGCGTTGCCTATAATGAATAACACATTGTCAATATTAAGGTGTTGGAAATTGTAACACATTGTCCATCTTGCAAAATGGGTTGGGATATAGGCAAGAGGAAAAGATCACAATCCCCAAGTCACCAGCAACACTAACATCCAACGTGAACAACCACATTAACAGCTGGTATTGCCAGTCCTGTTTTTGCTGGTAATGAATACTACACCTGCATGTGGTCTTATCCACCACATATGCCATCAATAGGTTCACTGTTAAGACGAAATCATTGCAATGACTATGTTCTGGTAGCAGAGGTCAGCAAACCGTCACTGAATCACGATTTGATAAAACAGCACAGCACAATACATATAAAGTTTAAAAATACATTTATATACGTACTTATGTGAACGTCTCCCCATCACGTTTTGGCAATGTGATTGTATGAGCGGCCAGTGATGTTCAGTAAAGAGCGGGGGTAATGGGGGGCGGGAGGGCCAGGTCTGGTTCAGATATCGCCGGCCATGGATGTTAGCCGTGGGCATAAATCACCGCTCCGTATCGCTAAACACAAAAAAAACTTCAACCCGAAAAGGGGCTGATGATCAGGGCAGCTGAGTGACGCGAGTAGGCGGCAGGTGAGTGGCACGGTAGCGACACTTGTGCCTCATAGCAAGAACAGCATGGGTTCGATTCCCGACTCGAGTGCCTTGCTGCTGTGTGGAGTTTGTATGTTCTCCCCCTGTTCTCCAGGCCCTTATTGCTGAGGCACAAGTGTAACAACTGCGCCACCCTGCCGTAATTATGTTGGTGGTGCGAGTAGCAGTGGTGATGACGCTGGATACAGTGGAGATAGTGGCAGAGTTTGCGTTGCTTAACGACGATGCTCGTGGTGCTAAAGTTGCTGGAGATTATAGTGGTGGTGATAGGCTTGCTAAAGTTGATGGTGATGAAGGTAGTGTTGGTGCTGGCTTTGCTAGAGATGGTGGTGGTAGTGCTGGAGTTGCAAGAAATGATGGCGATGGTGGTGAACGCAGTTTTATCACTGATGGTGCTGGTTGTGTTGTTGCTGGAAGCGGTGGTGGTAATGGGAATGTTGGAGATTGCTGCTGCCGCTGGAGACAGTGAAGGATGTGTCGGCGGTGGTGGTGCTGGTGAGAGTGGTGGTGTTGCTGGTGAGAGCGGTGGTGTTGCTGGTGAGAGCGGTGGTGCTGCTGGTGAGAGCGGTGGTGGTTCTGCAGGTGAGAGTGGTGATGCTGCTGGTGACAGCGGTGTTGGTGCTGGTGAGAGCGGTGGTGTTGCTGGTGAGAGTGGTGGTGGTGCTGGTGAGAGCGGTGGTGTTGCTGGTGAGAGCGGTGGTGTTGCTGGTGAGAGCGGTGATGCTGCTGGTGAGAGTGGTGGTGCTGCTGGTGAGAGTGGTGGTGCTGCTGGTGAGAGTGGTGGTGCTGCTGGTGAGAGCGGTGGTGGTGTTGCTGGTGAGAGTGGTGGTGGTGCTGGTGAGAGCGGTGGTGTTGCTGGTGAGAGCGGTGATGCTGCTGGTGAGAGCGGTGGTGGTCATGGAAGTGGCGGTGGTGCCGACGCCGGAGGGAGTGGAGGCATAGGCATGAGCTACTGCGGAAAGGAGCGGTGCTAACAGACGTGGTGGTGGTATTAGAGCCACTGCTGGTGAAGCTGTGGGGCCGCACCCGGGGCGCTACCGTTGTCTTTGATGGTGCCATCCTCCATGGTCATCTGCTCTGCGAGCTCGGAGAGCGCCTCGTCCACAGGGCGGCCTCCACGCAGCGTCAGCGACAGACGCCGCTTCAGCTTCTTCATGCGATCCATCGCTGGGATCTACACGCAACATCGCACGCATCACGCACAGATGAGACCTACTGCTTAGCCCTGTTCAAACACACACTCGTCTACAAACCACGGACATGAAGAGCCTCTGCGTGGTGTTATACGTACACACACCAATATATCACGTGATAATGATGAAGGCCTCCACTAAGCTCCACGGACTGTAAGTGCATTTGTTTTTGGCGAGCACCTTTTGAGGCCTGCACGGCACACCCGAGGTTGTGTGTCCAGAACCACGCTCGGCCACCTGTCTCCCAGTTACTAATGTCTAGAGGGTGGACTTATGGGAAGCCCAGGACACGTTAGGCGATCGCTGGAAAATAATCATGCGAATGGATGGGAATTGAACCCAGGTCAGTGACGTTGCAGGGCAGGGAAATCACTGTTCCAAACAGCGTTATCATAAGCCATGATCATTTCACTGCTGGATGAAGGCCTCCCCATTGTCAACAATCTGTCTAGCACCGACACACGAGCTGATTTCAGCACTCCATCTCTGCAGGGGATGAGTTCCCTCCTTTGGCTGTCATTCCCTCAATATTCTTGACCATTATCCCTTGCAACGTCCCCTTCCCAAGCACACTTACATTTATTAAGCGGTGTACGCGTGTTCCTCTTTCTTATCTCCCAATGTCATTCCGAGCGTGCATCTCGCATGCGCCTCAGTGGCGTTTCAGTTTTTTTGTCAATGTCCGTGTTTCTGTTCCGTACCATTCCAGGAAATCCACGCCGATTTAACAATATTTACATACATACGCACATACATGAACACATGTACCTACTTGGGCCTGTCTACTTATTAACAAAAGCGCCATCAACTGACCAGCAACACAAAGCGACTAGGCAAGCTAGTCGAGTTAATCAGCCAGCCAGCCAGCTGCCCCAATTGTTCACAGCACTATAAAAACACATTATTCCTTTTCCATCCCAGTTCTCATTCAAAGGAGACATTACGCAACCGCCCACACAAAAGCACCGCGCACAATCGGCGGAGCGAGCTAAGCCAAATAAATATATATAAAGTAACAAACAGACAGGCACACGTATAAATATGCGAGCACATGGCGAGATAAATAGGGCGGAGTGGAGCGGAGTGCATTGTGCGTGCTTGGCGGAGCGCATGCAGGCCGTGTCCGGGCTTGTTGGCCTGCGATGAAGCCGTGTGATGGAGCCATTCGCGCCGGGCGCGCTGCTGCGTGTGTTCATAGCCACGAGGCGGTGCACGCACGTGAACGCTCACGACAGACGAAGAGAGCCCTCAGCCGTGGAGCGGCACACGCAGCTCCACTCGATCAGCCCGCCCTCCCGCCAACGACACTCGCTCGCCACAATTCACAACCGCACCACCGCCTTCGCTGCAATACGTAGTCACCCACTCACGCACTACAACACACAGTCACACACCACTCACTATAATACAGTCATCCACTCACTCGCTACAACAACACGCCGACTCACAACAACACAGCCACCTACTTAGTACAATAAACAGCCACCCACTCCAACACACGGTCACACACTCACTACACACACACACACTGATAATTATCAAAGACAAGGCTAATGAAGCAAGTGCTGTTAGCGAGGACCTAATAAGGCATGCACGAACACAGGTGGTGGTGGTCGTGGTGAGGCCAGCACCACGCCCTGCCACCTTTGTCTTCCCAGTGCTGCCGTTTACATACTGCACCAGGTAATAATTCAAGGCAGAGTCGACCCAGGGGAAGCCCAGGACCAGTTTAGATATCGCTCACGAGGTTTGTAGTTTGCCAGCACCAATTACAAACTGAATAGGTGCGAAACCCTGACAAACTATTCATGATTTGATGTACTTGTGGAATACAATTCAAGACGATTATATTTAAAATATATCAATGATGAGTAATGTAACATGTTTAATTCAGCGAAAACAAATTCCGTAACTCATTGCCCTGTTAAACAACAGAATGCAATCGCTTCGCTTGACGGTGCCACCGTCTTTGGCACTGGTGCGCGGACCGCCCATCGGCCGACCACTCACGATTATTCCCGTTAGTCCGTGGGTTTACCCAGGAAAGCCTCGTGATTCTTTTTCAGGAGGGTACTGCAAAGTTTTCAAAATATGGCTAATTTTTATGATGACACTGGCACACATTGGCCAACTCGGGCGCTGTGGAACCTTTAACGTCCACTGTGAAGCAGACGGCGCATGGTAGCAGTTGTACTATTCTGCTGAGTACACACCGCAGTGATAACCAGGGTGGGCTGCTGGACCCGAACCGTGATTCTCTGCAAAAAAGCGGCAAACCCGCTTCCGCCAGGACGTCACCGCGCTCCAGTCCGTAGGGGTTCAGCAGCTTGAGATTAAATCGTGGCTGCGTGTGTGCTCGGATTACAGCACAGAGGTTCGCTTTTTTAAACTTTATTCCACCAAATTTTGATTTAAAGCTTTCGTGACTGCAGTAATTCATATTCTTAGTTTTTTCGGTAAAGTCACGTTGAAGAGAAACAACAAAATAATATAATATATAAAACAATAAAAATTCTCACGACGTTTCGACCATAACTCAAACGGTCATCTTCAGGTGTGTTGGTTAAAACCAACACACCAACACATTTGAGTTATGGTCGAAACGTCGTGAGAATTTTTATTGTTTTATATATATTATATTATTTTGTTGTTTCTCTTCAACGTGACTTTACCGAAAAAACTAAGAATATTTATTCCACCACTTCGCTAAAAAAGAAAGACGTGACGTTGCAGTGAAGCTGTTTGCCAAATGAGCTGTACAGCACAGGAAGGACTAAAGTCTAAGGTAAGGCTTAATTTATAGGCAATGTTTATTGGGGTCAGAACGAGCCAAAGGATTAGTCACACAGGACCACGATTCCTCAGGGAGGGGTGGGGAGGGTAAGTGATGAAGGCAGGATGCTTCCCGGCGAGCCGCTGCCGTTAGCGATTACCCTAGTTCTGAAGCTCTCGCCACAACCTCCCGTAAATTACTTCGCGGTGACAGCAGCTGCCTCGCACATTTAAACCAAGGGTTGCACGATCGAAAAGCATTAGTGACAAGCGGTGGGTGGGGGGGGGTGGTCTCTGGGCCAATGGCTAATTGACATAGAGCCCATAGCAAACATCAAGTGTTGCACAAGGAAGCAATGTGTCATCCCTTATTGCAAAGCTGGACGCAATTGAGTTGGGTCCCCCTTTCATGTCAAGTGGCCAGGTGGCTCATAATTGGCCGTGTTGGTATCGCCTTGAATCCGGGACACAGCTGAACGCGATGACACCGCGTGATCGAGTGTGGCGAGACGGAGGCCTCGGCCTGTTCAGAGCTGTACGCAAAGAGAGGTGGCAGCAGGTTGGAGCGCTTGTTTCTAAGCTGAACATCATCATTAAATTAAAATAAATCACGACGTTTCGGGCGCAACACAAGCATCCGGATGACGGACGCTTGTGTTGCGCCCCGAAACGTCGTGATTTATTTTATTTTCTACCTACCACGTGACTTTACCGAAAGAACCAAAAAGAGCATGGATTCCTGCAGTCACGAAAGCTTCAAATCAAGATTTTATCATTAAAAGCAACATAAGGTGGATATTAATTATGAAAATGTAATAAAAGTGAAAAAAAAGTAGGCAAAAAAGGCATGGAAGATGCATGTTTGGGAATGCATTGAGAAAAATAAATAGGACCATGTGGATGAGAGAACGTACAAAGGTTAAACATATCATCCTGGCTTAATAAAAGTAACTGGGCTTGCACAGACACACGGGTAGAAAGTATGTCCAGTGGTCAAGACTAATGCCTCAGTCGAAGCCAAGGTAGGTAAACACGCCAAACAGCACATTTAGCATGGAGATGGAACAATGAAATCAGCTCATTTGCAGGTGTTGTGTATATTGTTACGTCACAGGACCATGCCAGATGGCGGCGACTTGGGGAGGCCTCCATCCGCAGTTGATTGACCATGGTTAATGAAGATTGTATTAAACGTGGGTTTTGGCTTTAAGGACAATATCTCGCTCAATAACAGTTTGGTGCTCTTTTTTTCATCATCGTATCAATCCTGAAATCTGCTAAAAAACTGCCAATTGATCTTTAAAAACCCAGCAAGAGGCCAGAGTGCCGTCAAGACGAGGTTCAACTTCCCCTCCATCCACTGGGCTCTACAGACCAACACTGAGCGGGTCCCAGCAAGCACTGCGCTGCGCTCCCAGCATGCACCGCGCTGGGCTGCAGAGACAAACAAGAGCAGCTCCCAGCATGCACATTGTGTTGTGACAAAGCCGGGGTCACAGAGGGAGGTCACGGGGCCAGGTCACGGGGCGAGGTCACGGGGCCCCCACCTGGCGAGTGGAGGTGAGGGGGCGCCAGTGTGGCTGTGTGGCCACGAGAGGGCGCTACGGCAGTGTGCCTGAAAGTTACGTATCTTTCAAAACTTTCAATCATTTAACCAAGTTCCAAACTCATTGACAAAACATCGTTGAACAGATGACGCCAAAAGGCGCACAACTCAAAGGCAACGCACTATCAGAGTAATGAGGGCTCGGGGTAAGCATTTACATCACGAGGCCTCCTTTGCCAGTACCAAAATAATCAATTTCAAGGACAATGCATACATTATCAGAGTGTGTTTTTTGTTTGCATTCTGACCCGAGGTATTGTGGTTAATGTAAACATGATTCCTTGTAAAAATGTTTCAGTTTTGTTGCCAGAAAAAGGGGAAAAAAATATATTTTTTTCATCGTTGAACAGCTTAGTTGTTTGTGGTGTCGCAAATATCCTCCACACTGGGTTGTATTAACCAAAAAAATGTGAATCACCGTCTGCTTCACGGGGGATGTTCAAGATCCCGAGATGTAATTCGCAAAAGTTGGAAGTTGTGTGCTGGCGTCGCGGTCCAAAATTAGGCCAAATTTCTTCAATTACCCGCAAATTACTGAACTGGAAAGTACATAGCAATGATGTCGCAAAACTATTAAAACTTGGCAGGACCTTTCTGGAAAAG